TTTGTAAATGTAAATCACACATCCACCATCAGTAAAATTGCCCGTTGGAACAAAAGGGATAGTTATAATTTATCACGTCGGGTAGCTGATTAGGATTACTGCATGTGTCCAAATAACACTCCTCGCAACGACATCAGTCTCCATGTTTGCGCGTCAAAATCACAAGGTGAGAGAGTAAGGCAATGTAATCGGAGACAAAATTAAAGACGATATAATAAAGGGAGTGCGACTTTATGACTGCAGTTAACAGTTCTGGAAAAGAAACATTATCAATAATCTTCTGAAGTTTAAGTTGAGAAATAAGCTATAGCTCAGGGGATAATGTTCAATGGCGTGAAGTTCGGGAAAAAGGGGTAAGTAAGGTTTTCTTTGATGGTGATAACGGATGGGCGGCCGGAGTAGTGTCAGTTATTATTTAATTGGTATAGCAACCGGACCAAACTGATTAATCTTGTAGAAAAGGGATAGCCCGTCATCTACATGATTACATATGAATTCAAGTCTAGAGAGATTTAAGAGAATGGAACATATCAGTAACACTAGAGGTCTGACCATTATCTGGCTTCATCCAACGGGAATGACTTCTTTGGGCATTTTCAGTTTGATTTGTATACACAGTATTTGTGTTTTGGGTCTGTCTGACTAATGTCTGGTAAGTTATGAAGTAGATGGATAAGCTTTTAGCATTATGATTCTGCAACTGAACGCTAATGTTTGGTCTGCTCTTTGTCATGTCCTGTTTATGTTTTTCTCCCATGTAAGCTAGTTATTTGAGGTATCCCACATTTAGAGGGGGTAAATTCCATATACCACCTCAAATCCCACTTTTCTTACCAAAGTTTTGACAATTAAGGGGGTAACTGATTAGTTAACTGATATCAGAGCAATGAATAATGCAATATTGTTTACAAGTAGTCGGACAATTGACTTCAGTTACATAAAAAACCTTGTAATGCCATATATATCGATGACGGATGTTTTTTTCTAAGACAATCGGACGCCCCTCTGTGCATTATTTCAGGCAAGAACGGGCACCTTAGTAGATCCATCAACGTCCAGTAAGCTACATGTAGCTGAGAAAAAACAAAGTCGCAGGTGGGATTCGCATCCACAGCGGTGGGAACGTCATGTAATTTACAAGTATAACTTATAGGGCACTATCTAACCTTTTTCCCAGAAACCATAATGGAGGGGGCAACAGATGTTTCGGCTGGTTTTGGAAGTGCCTTACATAGAACACTTGTCACGTTATGGGCCTAGCTATAGTCGGCAAACTTTTACCTAATAGGTTGGATAGGTGAAGGAGTACAAGAGCAATTTCTATTATGTTTATATGAAAGAAAGCGTACGTTGATTATTTACTGTTAACATCACACTATAGAGAAGTTTATATGTGCTGCTTGTATGTCGACATAATTTGAACAAGACATACTAATTCAGCTCATCTAAGAAACATTACCAATTTCGACACATACAATCTTGACAGCAGACCACCTAATCATACAAGATCCCTAATACAAAAGTACAAGGCCTCACATATCTAGACAAGAATATGTGTTAATCAGTTCTTTACATGTCCCTCCCCTCCTTCTTCCGCCATTGTGCCCTCTTCCGTTGGTTCGATGCATTCTGGGTGTCCGGCTGGGTTGCCGCCTCCCTGCCTTATTGATCATCGTACACATCTTTTAGGTAAGCTGTCAAACAGTAAGATTGTCTTATGTTAATATGTGTGACAACGTAATGATAGAACATCAGTCAACAAATATCCTTATTTCTAAAAAAAATAGATAATTAAGTAAATAAATAAATAAAAGTAAAATGTCTCTGGTTTATTTGGTATTATTTTCTATCAAACCTTAAATAGCTCGAACCGGTTCAATTGTCTAATTTTATTATGCCCAGTGTCAGACATAATATAATTATATTGTTATAGATTCCAGAGTCTTCTCTGCATTCCTTACCTATATCCTACGGAATGCCGTTAGGGCCATTGCCTATGAATGTGTTGATCTGAAACGCGATAGTCGATAGAACGATGGTGAAAACGCGAAATCACGAAACTACGATGGTGAAAATGCGAAAGCACGACGATGAACACGCGAAAGTACGATGATGAAAACGCGACAGTACGATACTACGATGATGAAAGCGCGATAAACTATCGTGTTTTCACCATCGTACTGTCGCGTTTTCACCATCGTAGTTTCGTGATTTCGCGTTTTCATCATCGTACTGTCGTGTTTTCATCATCGTACTATCGCGTTTTCACCATCGTACTATCGCGTTTTCACCATCGTACTATCGCGTTTTCATCATCGTACTGTCGTGTTTTCATCATCGTACTATCGCGTTTTCACCATCGTACTGTCGTGATTTCATCATCGTACTATCGCGTTTTCATCATCGTACTATCGCGTTTTCATCATCGTACTGTCGTGTTTTCACCATCGTACTATCGCGTTTTCACCATCGTACTGTCGTGATTTCATCATCGTACTATCGCGTTTTCATCATCGTACTATCGCGTTTTCACCATCGTAGTTTCGTGATTTCGTGTTTTCACCATCGTACTATCGACTATCGCGTTTCAGATTAACACATTTATAGGCGATGGCCCTAACGGCATTCCGGAATGCCGTAAGGGCCATCGCCTATGAATGGTTTGATCTGAAACGCGATACTCGACAGTACGATGATGAAAACGCGAAATCACGAAACTACGATAATGAAAACGCGACAGTACGATGTTGAAAACACGATAGTTTATCGCGTTTTCATCATCGCAGTATCGTACTGTCGCGATTTCATCATCGTACTATCGCGTTTTCATCATCGTGCTTTCGCGTTTTCACCATCGTAGTTTCGTGATTTCGCGTTTTCACCATCGTACTATCGACTATTGCGTTTTAGATCAACACATTCATAGGCGATGGCCCTAACGGCATTCCGTAATATCCACCTGCTGAAAATGCAGTGCATTCACACAAAAGAAAAATGTGTACGTACTATGCTTCAGCTAAACACCAATCAACACAAAGTCCTGTGTAGAGCGTCCGAGCGTCGAGTGGTTAAGGTAGTTGACTTCAAACCACGTGCCCTTCACCGCTGTGGGTACGAAACCCGGCGAAAATTTGGATTCTCTCATAAGAGGAAGCTATCTAGCTAGCTTACGGAACGTTGGTGGTTCTACTTATGTGACCATTTGTGCTTGAATTAATGCATGGAAGGGCATCTGAGGTCTTCCTCCACAAGTAAAGCTGGAACGATGCCATATGACATATACTGTGTCGGTGTGACGTAAAACCACAAATAAATAAACAAACAAACGAACAAATAAACAGCAGCCTGTGTCCCTTTCTTTCGTCTTACATATCGTTCTATTTCTTCGCTTTGTGGTGGTTAGACGACTCTCTTTCCAAGGCATCCCAAACAAAATAGCCTCTTATGCACCCTAGGCCTCCCTAATTAGTCACGTTGTACAGACATACTGACAGACAGACACACACACACGCGCGCGCACACACACTTATATGATCACCTTTATCACATCATCGTATCAGCTTAATATTACAAAAAAATCTTGAATAGAGTTTTTATTAATAATTATAATAATTTTAATGTAATGGGCGTTAATAAATGTTTGTTTCAGAAAAGAACACACACACTTAGACAAGATTAAAGTTAATCAGATTGCAGCCAAATAATATATGTTCGTGTTGTTGATACCTTAATCCAAGAAAAAGATAACATTATAAACTTGTTCGCCCAATAAGATTTCAGGTGTGAATTTTACTTCCCGAATAGGAATGTCTAACGTGATGAACTTTTCTATATATACTGATTTAAAAATAAATAAAGCAAGCGATTGGTACCCGGACTACTTATCTCTGTTGAAATAGGACATAGTAAAGTTTGTGTCGTAAGAGTAAAGTATAACACTATATTAACTCTAACCGTTAATTATTGATATGCGAAATTTATAGAGTTTTTCTTTATTTGCACTTCTTACAAAATTATAAAATGAACAAAAAATATCACGTGTAATAAAGAACAGCTATATTAATACAGAACAAGACAAAAATTTATATTGTCTCATGTGCACGTAAGGCCAACTACATGTAGATACGTATCTCAAAGAATAATAATTATATTTATACTGTTTCTCACGAACATACGACCAGCTTGATATTTCATAGGAAATAACTAAATTTATACTGTCTCACATGCACGTAAGACCAACAACATGTAGAAATAGTAATCTCGCGAAAAGCTTGATACCGTATAGGAAACAACTAAATGAGCCGCGTCACGACAAAACCAACATAGTGTGTTTGCGACCAGTATGAATCCAGACCAGCCTGCGCATCCGCGCAGTCTGATCAGGATCCATGCTGTTCGCTATCAGTTTCTCTACTTGTAAAAGAGTTGGTAAGCAAACGCACTATATGTTGGTTTTACCCAAATTTATACTGTCTCACATGCATGTAAGACCAGATTGATTTCATTACAGGCAAGATTAAGATTCATGCTCAATTTCATGAAAAGTTTAGTAAATACTGTGACGTGAACAAAGAAAGTGATGTGCACATTACAAATGACACAAACCACGTAAATATCCAAAAAGATGTCAATATACATGTATGCAAAAATAGCCCTTATGGTGATAATTAGCGTAAAGCATGCCAATTTTTAATATCTTTACTTGTCTGAAATTCTTAGTACATTTTTTTTTCAAGTTTGATTTTCTTAAAGTATTTTGGATCTGAAGAAGCGCAAAGTGTTAAGCTAGCATTTGTTTGTAGGAAATCTTCGGTCTTTTTCATGTATATTACAATGAGGTACCGTGAAGAACACGCTTAGTGTGAAAATAACATGCTTCAACTTAAACTCAATTTCAAAGCGTTATATCCACTGTGTTGTTATTGGAGATGAACTATACGTCGTACAATACTATGTACCCTATGTATACTTGGGCCGGGTACAATAAAGATTTGATATTTGGGTACCAACCTGATAAGATACCGTTTGTATAAAACTAGGAAGAAATTAATGTTTAAAACTGTAAATGCAGGATATAACACTGTCAAATGTAAGCGCTACTTTTACGTAAAATTCTTAAATTATACATGTATAATTATTAATTGTAGACAGGTATATATTATTGTCGTTGAAGTGTATAAAGCTATTTGCCTGTTGTTTGTAAAATTGTTGTTTGAATTTTTAAAAAATAATACTTCTAATATACTTTTAGAGTGATACTTTTGTATTTTTCGTATACTTGTACATGGATATCATTATGAGCGAATGGCACATCTACGAAATCATCGCTACCCTTATTTAAATAGCAGCAAAATATTTTGTTCCGACGTACCCTTTACAGTATTCATGTTCAATGTTTCATGTTTAATAATTAGCAGAAACATTACAAACATTATATATGTTACATAATTGACCAAACGATTGTGGAAATAACAAAATTTTACCGTCTATAAGTTTTATAAAAAATGTTTCAACAAATATAGCTTTATACCCTTTAATGTGAATTTGATGAAATTTTATGCTTGTTAAAAAATTCAAGACCATTTTTTTATTTGTAGAATTGATTTGTAAACATGTCTGTGATTTTTTTTCCCAACATTAACATACACGTACTTGATAAATGGATTGATGGATTGATTGATTAATTGATTGATTGATAATAGTATATAACATTAAAAACATTTGGTTTCAATTTTATTATAATTTTTTAAACAGAGTTGAAAGAAAGAGAATGTTTATGATTATGATATTCTAATGATATCTACATATATTGAACGCTGTATTGTTTTACTTGTCAAATGTCTGATATAAGACACGAGAAGGACACCGTAGGTCCTCTTCCGCTAGAAAACTTGGCAGTCGCCATATAGTATATAATTAAAGTGCAGGTGTGACTAAGAATCCACTTATAATACTTTTAAAGGCCCATTAAGCCCTACATCTTATTTTATTCTAAGCTTTAGTTCTGGTCATTATTCAAAAGTTCTACAATTGACACTTTTACTGTGTGCTTTGAAGTAGTTACAATGGATTAAATTGTTTTCTGGTCAAAATACTCTTTATTTACATCTTGCTCCTTTTGTGACAAATAATTTCGTATTCATCGCTATTTTTTTCAGGTGATTAAACTGCACTATCATTTAAATGTTATGAAAAACAATGTCGTTTCTGACGCATAGTGTGCCTTTAACAAATTACTCAGCTCTGATAGAGTTGTGACCGTTTATATAATCTGTGTATTCAGCTTTTGTATATGCACTGCTTATAAGTTAAATAAATTCATAAATTCACGTGAGATAAGTAAGATATCATTATAGGGGGTCTCTTCAATGTAACAAAATAAATCATCTTTATTTACACACTTGTATATAATCAACTGAATGAACTGCATTTTTGTGGACAAAATAAAACAAAACACTTATTTCATACTGTTTATTTTAATTAGGCAAATAAATCTCTCAACATTTCATTGGTTGACACGCTTTTGCGTTCCACTCACCGACGTAGAAATAGGGCAAAATACTTAGAAACAAACGGCGGACATCTTCCTTTTTGTAGTCGTTTTAGCAGTCATATTTAGAAAACAACATTTTGAACAACTATTGTTTACTAACAATATTGCTTTTGTTATATACATATTGAGAATAAATTTAAAGAGGTTATCTTAAATAATGTTAAATTATGTAACTTATCTGCTTAATTTTCTGAAAAAGGCACTTAGAAATTAAACTTACTGCGAGTTTGATATCTGGGATTGCGTTATCTGTTGACCTTATTTGACATCTGGATTTTTTTATAAGGAAAGTTATACAAAACACGTGTTCCTGAATAAAAAAGATAGGTATTTAGGCAACATTTTTGGATGCGCCAATCTGACGGGTTTTCTGTAAACTTGTATTCCTGCGAGTACGTACAGCTTTAATATTCTTACAGTAACAGGGTTATAACCTGATTATGCTAAAATCTTACAGCAGTAACAATTGCAATATTGCTATCGTTTTCTGTACGAAATCTGCTATGGTCATAGTATAATTATTTGTTTTGGTCGTCAGACCAAACAAATAATGGTAGCGAAATTTCAGACCCTGATGCTGTTAATTGCAAATGCCGAAAGTAGTCCGCTTTTTTGAAGCGGTTACTTCCCTTTATATGTACACTAACCCCGAAAAATTTAGGGGAGATCACTGCGTAAAGATTGTCAAATGACAGGCGCATTAATTTTCAAGCATTTTAGTTCACGAATGGTCGAAGATTTCTAATATTGCTTTATTCTTTATAGATATACATGCTTATAGTAAGCTCCATTATTATTTACATCTGTGTTAAACAACAGGTTAAGCGTCGAAATAATAAGAGTTACAAACCCTAATTTAGAATAATATAGTTTTTCTTCATGCCGTAAACATATAACTTCACCGTGGCCGAGGGGTTTGCACGCACGCTGGTCTGGAGTTCAAATCCCAGTTAAGGCAACTCATTTTTGTAAAAATTGTTTAAGTCAAATAAACATTGAATTGAATATCAGTGTTGCAATAAGCCTTATAGTCAATTTACTTCCGTTAAAACACTGGAAAGCATTGGTGGCACTATACAAAAACAAATTGTTTTATAATCTCACAACCTTCACATTTCTGACATTCTGAGACCCAAACAAATTCAGCGCCTTCTGTGCTTTGATTTTTACAATAGCTTTAGCTCTTAAATTTGGTTTGCTATTGCTAATCATGGTCATGCAACTACATAATTAGATTAAGAAGCAGACGCTTGTTTGGTTGAGTCTATTATGTTTTGTTTAGCGGGTGAGTTGATATACACAAATTAACAATTTATATGCATTTATTTTTTTCCAATGATTGTTATTATCTTAAATGCTTCTGGGATTGTTGTTTTATCAATCCATTTGTAAATAAGATTGTTATTTGTCTATTAACGGAATAATTTTAATGAACACGAAATTAGTTTACACCTACATGTGTATTGATAACGTGATGGTTTAAGCCAATGAAAACACATCAATATTATTACAATCAGGCAGAGAAAAAGAGTAAATCGATAATCTTTATGTAGCAAACAAACTTTGAATTGCAAGTATTTTTTCATATCTTTTCGGCAGGATAAACTGTCCGAGGTGGGCCAGGCATTTTCGTATCGTAAAATGGCTGCCATTTACAGTATCGAGTGATTATCCCAAGCACCACCGCGACTTAGCGAGGGAATTATAAATATAGAGCTAATCTCGGCGCGTCGAATAGGATGGAAATACCTTTTTCATATTTTATTGTAATAAATATTTACAAACTGTGTCTTTCGTTTTTTTTCATCAGTATTAAAGCAGTAACAATTGCAATATTGCTATCGTTTTTATTACCTCTTTTTTATGCCAAAATATTCAAGCAGTAACAATTGCAATATTGCTATCGTTTTTATTACCTCTTTTTTTATGCCAAAATATAAAAGCAGTCTGATCAGGATCCATGCTGTTCGCTATCAGTTTCTCTACTTGTAATAGGGTTGGTAAGCGAACAGCATGGACCCTGATCAGACTGTGCGGATGCGCAGGCTGGTCTGGATCCATGCTGGTCGCAAACCCATTATATTGGTTTTGTCGTGACGCGGCTCAAATATCGCCACCTAAGAAGTAAAAGGTCGTAAGTGAATTTTTCATAATTTTCAGGAACAGAATTTAAAGGTTTATACCTGTCTAAAAAATCAAAACTTGAATTCAGAGAAAACCAATTATTCTTATGTTAGATGTTATTATATCATCTTTATATTCTTATATACAAACATACAAAATATCTAATCAATCAATCAATCAATCAATCAATATCATCACTACTGTACATACGCCCTTTTTCTCCTACTACGTTTTGCTAAAGACATTAGAATGAAAAGGTTGCATATGGCAAATATGACCTTCTGCCGCCAAGGGATTTCAAGTTAATAGAATAACTGTTCATTCATATAAGGTAGTATTTGACAAATACTACCCTTTCATTCTTAACAAATACACAAAACTTACACATACTTAGGGTGACATATGACACATCTGACCTTTTACCACTTACTTTTATCTGAAATCGTGCACATTCACAATAAAATTGAAAACAATTATTCCTTTTGAAATACAATGTACATTGAATATAACTGTTCTTCATATATGTATTGAGAATAATGGGTCACAATTACTAAAATGGCATTAACAGTCCTGTAAAGCGATGGAATAAAATTATATAACCGTTTGAAAGTGTTCAAGTATTAAATGATAAATACAAGTTTTCAAGAGTAACAAAAATAAAACTTTTACAGTTCCGCCATCATATCGTCACATAATAACGATTGTCTGTTTTAAGATGCCATCCTAATACATCCCAAATTTTAAACATAAAATCAATCAGAGATTTTTTTCACTTAAATTTCTATATATGTATAAAACACATACTTTTTAATTCGTCTGTAACAATGTTAGCAGTTATTGTAAATTGTTCACCAATTCTAATATTCTTCATCTTCATACTCTGAATTTTCAGAAAGGAAGTCTTTGTTGCTTTTGTTTGTTGGTAAGCTAGCAAAATATGAGTGGAACTCTTCGGAAATAATGTCTTTCGTGCAAAGAAATTCTCACATAATATCTTTTTATATTTCGGTTCTTTTACCGGGACATATCCTTTTGAACTACACCAATCCTTGTAGAGTTGCCACTTACGCTTTATGCTCAAATCATCGGCTACATATTGTTTCTTAGAACTTTTTCTAGCGTAGTGAGATTCCATAGTAGAAAAAAAATTTATATGTTCGTACACGAATTTCACTCTTGTATCATTGATTTTTGTACTGGGTGTGTGCCTACCCCTCAAATCTGTTCCTTGAAATGTACCATTTGTTTTTCTTTTAAGAGTGTACCGTATTAGCTTCTCACCAATATCGAGAGTTTTAAGCAAACACGGATGCTTTCTTCTCTTTTGAAAAAAACTGTATTTCAACGATACCTTTCTTTTACTTTTAGTGCTTCTAACCGGGTCGCTTTTCGATACAACAACGCATATAAAACAACGATCAAATATTTTGCAAAGAATTATTGAAATTGTACAAACCTGATTTTTTTTCATCCATGATTCCTTCTTGTAAACATAAACAAATGAACGTGGAAAATTTATGATATTAGTGAAATTCTTATGTTATCACAAACAATTCTGCTGTATTGAAATGATATGTTCTATAATCTATAAAACTGCTAATTTGTTCAGATAAAGGGGGCATTAGTTTCACATTGAGTGTTTTGCTTGGAAGGAAAAAGGCGTAATTGGCAAATACTACCTTATACGTCAGTTTTCGCATACGTTTTGCAAAAAAAGTTGAGAATGAAATGGGCATATTTGTCAAATCTGCCCTTTTACCGTTAATTTAGTTTCACTTAAGACCCTTTACCGCTCATTAAAATTTTAAAATAGTTGTTATGGCCTTTGATTTCAAGTCAATAAATGGAATATAGCCAAGATATTTTTACAGAATATGCACATTGCTATGTGTATCAACGAACTGTTTTAAATTAAATCTGATTTTCGGCAAAAATGTTCGTTACGACCTTTTACCACTCACTCTTCAGTATTTTTCACGGCTTCATGCTGAAATCACGTGCATTTAAGAGAAGATATTTTAAACAATATTTTGATTTCATTTCATTTGTAATTTGAGACATGAGTCACATGAATAAATAGAGTTTTTTCTTTTAAATCCAGGACATTGCACGTTCTCACCTTCCACAAAAATAATATGTTTTTAAGGAGTTTTTTAAGGAAAATACCTCCGCTCAACACAAATTGTGGTAACTTGAAATTATGTTCTTCAAAAAATCTGATCACATAGTATAGCGATATTGAACAAGAGATCTAAAGTAAAACAAGAAACTTCAATATAGCTTCTGTTTTTATACATAAGATTTTAGTATTATAGAAATGATAACAAAATTTTATTATTTTATGTAAAGAATATACTTTCTGAAAGCATTTCTTTTTTATTTGAAATACATAAATATTATCATGAGTGTATTCTAGGTACTAGGGATAGCTTGCACTTTCCTGTCCATGAATAGGCTTAATCAAACCGAGCCAGCAACATTTTCAATTTTGCCGTTTTAGGAGTTCTTTATTGATTCTTTTTTCTCTATTCCAAAAAAAGCTAACAATTTTCATTTTGCCTATACTTGTATAGAAAACGAATAAAAATGGTAGCATGAACATGTATGTTCGTCAATTTGAAAATCGTACAATGTAAGGTAATAAAAAAGAATAAAGTATTCTAATTTGTAATTTTAATTATCTTTCGTTTACAATCGTTTGTATTTTTCATTATTCAACGTCTACCAATTTAATTGGACTAAAGGCATTTTAATTGTGTTTTAAACAATATACCCGAAAAATCGTTCAATCATTCATTCATTCATTCATTCATTCATTGACTGACTGACTGACTGACTGACTGACTGACTGACTGACTGACTGACTGACTCACTCACTCACTCACTCACTCATTCACTCATTCATTCATTCATTCATTCATTCATTCATTCATTCATTCATTCATTCATTTCTAATCAATGTACAATTATGCATTGTCTCATCAATGTACACTATATATATATACATACATGCATCACAGGTGTATATATACACATATTTTTATTTGTACATACAACCTAGATTGTTCACTCAAGTTAGAACAATAATAAACTAAATAACACTAATATGTGCAAGTGCACGTTAATGAAAAGTAGTTAAAACATTTTATCAAGAACATAAAAATTACATGATCATATTTAAATATCCAGTATCTTTAATATAATTAACCACAATCCAAATCCCTTAAGATATTATACAAGAAGCTAGTATCATTATTATCAATTCAACACATGCATGCTTCACTGATCTTCTTTGATACTTTACCTTTTCAAATCTTTTAACGCTTTAAAATGACTTGAATTTCTCTTACGTAATTTATGTTACTTATCACTTATAATTGCACAATGTTTATACATAGATGTCTGCTTTCTTATGAAATAATGCACAGGGTGGGATCTATCCTATTGTACCAGTATAAATCGCTATGAATCTATTTCTTTAATGCCAATCAAAAGTAAAATCTGTGTATGAAATACAAGGTAATCATTTTCACTTAAAAGCACATTATGCCCCAGAAACTTCAAAAAGGTCTTCAAAAAGGGCAAACATGAATTTTATAATGTTTAAATAATAGTTTTTAGAGAATGTTAGATGCTTGATACCTGAAGAAAGAATCGATAAATGTGAAATAATTTGTCACAAAGTAGGAAAATGTGAACAAAGTACACATGTAGTATTTTGACTTCCATACAAAATACTTATTCACTATAAATTGTTCTTATTGCCCAAAAGAAAACAAATGAAAGATGGGTCAGATGATTGTCAATGAATAACTTTTTGGATACTATAAAGTACACCAAAATTAAAATGCTTTTGAGAAATAAAAATCTGAGACATAATGGCATTTAAACAGTCAGTTGAGCATTAGTAAATCAGTTAAATGAACGAAGCAGTACTAAATACCAGTACCCGAGAAAATTGCAGACTCGGTTTTGATTTAGTGTGTACATGAGGGATAATGAAAAAAAAATGCATCACCCTCACCGACTTGAGCGATACTCATTTTTTCAACACTTAAAAAATGCTGGAATCAATTATCCCGAAGGACCTGAAAAATATACCAACACAGAAGTACGGAGCGTCAAGTGATCACGTGGTAAAGACTTATTCACAAATATGTTCAAGTTCATGATTTTAGTTATTTTTTGCCATTATGTGGTTTTATCTACTTGATAACGTGAATAAGGCTCTATCTTAGGTCAATATTTACAATCGGGGTTGTAATCGGGCCAGAGTTCAAAAACTCGATTTTTACTTCCTTTTACCTGATGACATACGTCATCAATCTTGTTGATGTGTGTCAACCTAAACACAACTTATTCAGACCAAAAGATTTACCTCACTTGGTGAAAAATTAGAGATTTAAATCATGTTGATTTTTAGATCAGCTAACAAAATATTTAGGTATTTTTTCATAGGACATGTACTTCTTTGTAGATAAATCCTCACGAAAAAGAGACCTGAGTCTGCATTTTTCACTATAAAACTTTGTTTGCCATTGTTCTTAAAAGATATTCCCTGTTCCAGATTTTATTACTGATCGCAAATCGTTTTTGATTACATTTAATGCTTAAATCGTCATCACAGTAATTTATTTTGACGATATTTTAATGCATGTACATAAAAGTGAATAGAAGAAGATTTTTTAATCTATTAGTTAATTAAATTATTTATTTATCTATCTATCTGGGTTTAATGGTATCTCTCAAATTTCAAAATCAAGTTTCTTTATTTACAATTCATATCAACAAATATATTATATCCGGTTAAAGCATGTACACTAGTGCCTGACACGACCTACCTCCCAATGAATCATTTGATATAAATTTGAAACTGTTATCTCATTTTGTATATATTTTCAGCTTCAAAATTTATTTTAACCAGTACCAAAATTGAACCGACACCATTCGCCATCACTAGTGTCAACCTGAAAGAGATGTTTTCATAGAGATGTATAAATAATGATACATGTTGTGCCGAGTAGCAAAGATATTGAAAAGGAAAAAAAAACAATGACGTGAGAATTATATAACAAGAGGATTTGCATTGAATAGTTTGTCTAGTTTTGATGCAGATAGCTTTTTCTCAAAAGGATGTCCACAGAGAAACATAGAGGATTGGAAGACAACTTAAATAGGTCAAATAATAAAGAGTATAATGAAGGACGTAATTGGTCATCTGAACATATACTAGTTTTAGTAACAGCTGTAGTCGTAACACTTCTGCTAGTCATTGTGTTACTGTTTTTGTATAAGAAATGTAGAAAAAGAAACAATAGGAATGAATGTTGCGACCGTCGTAATGGTTACACTCAGGGTAGACAACCGTATACTAACGGTTTTATTACGACTCATGGAATTCAGTGTGGAGTTCACTCCCCTCCAGCATATGATCATGATAATTACATTCCGCGCAATGTGATACCCACAGCTGCACAAAATGAAACACAAAATGACGGAGACTTTACATATAATAACTCTGGTCTTTCTGGTGCTCAGAGACAAAATCAGTATTTATTCAGATCAATGCCTGTAGTTAATCCTGCTTATTCGGAGTCGCTGATAAACTCGGACAATGAATCTATTACAGATGATCCATTGAGAGATTTGTATACGGAGACAGAAAGAAGTTTCACACAAACAGTGTGTGGAAAATTGTTAGTAAGCATAGCGCGCAGCATTGGGCACAAAGGTGGTGTTCTTTATTTAGATAACATGGGCATATCGTTACATATTCCAGAAGGTGCAGTGAAACGTGGCGATACTAAATTAGTGGTACTTGTGCTTAATTGGGACCTTTCCGATAATCCTGAAATGAAGAAAGAACAAAGCCTTGTAAGTCCTGTAGTCTACGTTGGTCCTCATGGATTAAAACTTGAGAAACCCTGCACATTAATATTCCGCCATTGTGCCTATAATCGAAACCAAATTCGTGTCATGCGTAGTGAAACTGAACTTACTCATCAGAAAACATGGAAAGAGGTTTGCAACCAGGGCGATAACTCAGGGATATGTTACCTTACTCCAGACGAATGCCAGTTGAACATAGAAACATTTACCCTGTATACGTGTATACAGACACCAGTAGAAAATATGATCGGTAAAAAATGGCTACAGATTGCGGTGTTTGCCTGTCCGCTACGAAACGAGATAAATCATCATCAGGTATTTACAACATTTATTATGAACATATCGTAATTACATCAGGTATTTTTGCCGTCTTACTGATCTCAAAGATTAAAGATGAAGTACTAAATTAATACAGGTAAGTTTCTCAGTTTTTTATGGAATAGGCCACCTGCGAAATCAATGACATGTTTGATGATGGCCATCGAGTATTGATATGAACCAACTTTGGGACATTCTTATCTGAGTGTTGTTGTAATACGAGTATAAATACTTTTATTTTATGAGTATAGTGACTACAAATTTAACTATCTATTCAAATGTATATAGCTTGTCAACAATAGATCAACAAACATAGTTTCGTTAAAATGCCTTTGTAAAAGATCTTGTTATCTGGATATGGACCACGCTGTCTGGGGTTAAATGTTTTGAAACATCTGAAGATATAATTATCCGTATTATTTTCTTTCTTATCCGTAACTTGTAAATTATCAAATGTGGAATGTTTTCACAAGTTATGACTAAACATGCTGCTTTTAAAACTGAAAACAATTTAACTTATGTTCATACTTTAAACAATTCTTTATCTTCTAGGTTCGGTTGTACTTTTTGAATAAGACAAACTGTGCTTTGCAATGGGCGATCCAAAACGAAGCTAAATTTGGCGGGAAACTTATATGTCCGGAAAAAGTGTTTCTCTTCGATGGAAATGAACACGACATGTTTACTGAAACAAAGTAGGTCAACATTTTTGCTGAAAAATAAAACACTCCTCTTGGCATTGTTATTTTTTATTTTATTTCGTGGCACCACTTCCTATATACTTCAACAATATTTCAATGTAAAATGTATAAGTATCACATATGCACTATTATAGACTTCAAGATGATATTATGAAAATGTATTTGCATGTCCTTTGTCCAAAACTAAATGTCATTAATCAGTATAAAAATCAACATAAATATGGAATAATATAAAATATGTATTTAGAGTCCCTTAATTCCCTTTTTTCTTCATTTTTGGTATAAATTTTCTGTTTCAGGTATATGTCGGATGGTTGGGAATTGGTAGACCCTGAAACAAGTGAGAAAATTTCCTTCATCAAAATTTGGCATGGCCAATGTCCATACGTATCTGTTTGCTTTCGGCGGTCAGCAAATCAAATAGCAACACCAACATCACTAGCTATAGAAATGAGTTTACATGTATTTACATTTCAGCAAACCCTCACAGAAAACGGCGAGAAAATATTTATTCAATTATTTGAAGATGATAACACACCGTTCTCAGGGAAAGAAATCCGATGCAATCACCATATACAAATTCAAATAAACAATATTAAAGACAATAATTGTGAAACGAGTAGGTTTGATAAGACTATCCAAAATAGAACAGTCACGGGCAGGCAACTAGCTTTGACTGGAAGAAATTCGCCGTCAAATGTGTCTGAACAGAGTTTAAATAGAAATGCTGTAATGGATTCCAATAACCTCAAGTTTGTTATAAATAATAAATTTTCTTCTTGGTCAGGGTCAGATTATCGTAGTAGGATGATATCGGAAGTAACTGAGCCGCGTCTGTTTCCACATACTTTAAGGAATCGCTTGGTGTTACTCTTGGATCCACCTAAATGTCCGTTTGGGCAGGACTGGAAAGATTTAGCTTCAAAGTTAGGCATGGATACATGTATACCTAAACTTCAAACGCTTGAACATCCCACTTCTGTGCTACTTAATGTTTTAGAGAATCAGGGCAAATCGTACTCAGAAGTTCTGTCTTTATTTAGAGAAATTGATCGCATGGATTGTGTGGAGGAAGTTAGGAAATATTATGAGACGGAAAAGGCGAAAGTGAATACTAATGTACGTGAACCATCCGAAAATACATTTGAAGGAAACGTCCGAAACGAAAGTCACCTCAGATCAGGCGTTTCTATGACAACTGGAAGTTATGTCGCCGATAATTTGTCCGCCCTGTTTACTAATCAAAGTAATAGCAGTGCAACAATAAGCAAAAGGACGCTGTATGATTCAACGTAAGACGAACATGCAAATGTAAAAACTGATAATTACATGTCAGATACAGTGTACTGCATCTTGCTGTTTATGTAAATTATTGATATAATGCTATTTATTTTTAGCGGGATGGAGATTGGTTTGGGGTTAGAGGTTTCATGAACAACAATTCTAAACTCTTTAAAGATCCTGTATCTCATTTTTTTATGGTTTCATATCATAAATCTGATAGTCAAATGAAGATTTTACAATATAGTAAGCTCAGAAATGCATTATTTGCAAAGACATTACCGAATTTACACTTCATGTAAATAGAAAATATATAATAAATATAATAAAGTCTAAGTAAGAAATGAATATATAGATTTTAATGATTACTTATAATGAATAAAAACATTTGCAGGACATATTTAACAAATATATCTTTGGATGTTTGGATGTTTGGAAATTGTTTTAGAAAGAATAATTATATACATATATATAAAATCGTTACATCCTTAATTACAACATACAGGATCTTTAAACAATTTTTGAGGAGGGCAACCTAAAAAAATTATTGTGAAAAAAGATCTTTTGTCAAAGCCAATCCAACATTTATTGAAGGCTTTGACTTCTGTCTAACTCTAAAGCAGTAACTGAGTCTAGGGGTCGCTGGTTCGATCTTCGGACAAGGTGAAATTTCTGTGACTATTGATTTCGATCATTGAATTTATTGATCATTTGTCTCTTATCACTTATTTTGAAACATTGGTCAACTGCGGTAAAGCTGGTAATTACTGGTTAGTTATCCAGGACGACTTACCGCCGAGATATAGGTATATATCCTAAATTATAATATTATAGTTGGTGTCAATATAAACAAACATACACAAATAACATATTTCATTTATTTTGATGAAAATATAAGTGAAATTTATTTTTACTTAAAAACAAAGGAAACTTTTTAAATGTAACTAAGATGATTTGATTATACATACTGGGCTCATTTTAAGTATATTGGGTTGTTTGTAAAACGTTCGATAATCTCCTGGTAGAACAGGAGTAGATAAAGGTATTGTGAAAAACGCAACAAGTGATAAATTACGTTAAAATGTGCCAATTTTTCAAGTTCTTTATCTTGACCCCATTTATTTTAGATATACATGTTTTAATAGCAAAGTTTTTTCACTAACTTGTATGTCTATTTTGTTATTCAGAATGATTGTAAAACAATCAATACTGTATTCAGAAATATTTATACTGAAAACTTTTTGAAAAACCTATTGGGAATGCAAATCTTAGAATCTTAATAATTACAAAATGTTATTCTATATATAAAGGATGTTGCCAACTGTTCCATAATATTTCAAACGACTATGTTAAACATTTAAAAGATACTGTGATGCAAGTTCTAAACCGGTTGTTCAATGTAATATTTATTCAACATGTGTCTTAAACTGTTTTATTTATCCTATTTACAACAAAAGGCGATATGATTATAGAGGCGTTACTACAGTAAGCTGTTTCGGAAATCTTAATAGAAGGTTAAATACTTACGTCAAATTACTAGAGTCTATGCATCTGGTGAGACGGTTTTGGCCCATTATGTTGCTTTTAAGGTTGTAACACCCAAGGTTAGCCAAAATCATCTTTCCTGTTTGGGCGCCATATGGCCTTTACTGTGTTGCGGCGCCGTAAAACCGAACTATCCAATTATATGGTGTAGAATCTAGGGAGTTTATAAAGCAATGTCAGTTGAAATATCTATAAATATTGTTGTGTTAAAAATATACTCATCATTGAGTGTTTTGGTGAACTTAGAGCATTGTATCTTGATTTAGTTATAAAAAATTGTACAATGTAGTTTACAGTTTTTTACCTGCCAAAATAAAAGAAAATAGAGAAATATTATGTACAGACATAGTACGTTATTATCTTAATGGTCAAAGTGTCACCACAGATATCTTAGGTTACAAATTCATTACAAGAGTAGGGTTTTATCGAATACTTCTAAAAAGTATCCCGTTTTGTCACCAATAGTATTAAGTATTAAGAATGGAAATAAAAATAACTGTATGCAAAACTGGAATGAGCAGCTAAGCAACTCTGGTAAATGTGCATTCTATAGGATATTGAAGACAAATTTTTGAAATATAAAGTTATTTTAAGTTTATTACCAAAATATCCGCCATGTATTTATGCCATTTTAAGCGTAGTAGTCATTTACTGTATTTACTATATAAGCTTGCTACTGAAACAGGATGATTTACTAATATTGCTCATAGTTGACAGTTTTGTGATTTGTGTAATGATAACTTCTTGGATGATGATTTTCATTGAAACAAAAGTGCCATACAGTAGTTGCTTTATATTCAATCTTCCATTTCTGGATTTTTTTCTAGTCTGTTTTACACTGTGTTTGTCTAAATTTATCCACAGGTCTAGAAGTTTTGTTGACGACCAACTCTTATGTATATTGTTTTATGAGTTATCCTTGTGTATAAAGTTATGTGTATGTTAAAGGAATCCACTGAGATTTTTTGGCATGACAAGACTAGAAATATTTTTTTCCAGATTTGTAAACATTTTGATGTAGGTCTGTACCAATAACTTGTGTGCAAATTTTCAGATCATTCCCTCATCCAGTTTTCCCGGTATGATCATTTTTATTGTCCAAAATGACCTAAAAATTAAAAGCGTTGCAACGCTTTTCACCCACATTGGGTTAAGAATCGCACCAAAAATCTATTATAAATTTTATTCTGAGAATATTTGTTTATGATCCTTTGCAAATGTTTTCATTTTACGTATTGCACATGATCTTATTTAGAATTTCAAATTTTATGTTTTTAGACCTTTAGAGCTTAGTGGAGCTCTGTAGGAGCACATTTGTCTCGGAGCACATTTGTCTCACAAAGTGTGACCGATGTGTTCGTAAACATTCATATTTGCGACAAATTGGAAATGAGACAGATGTGTTCGACACACAATAGAAAGGACACTCGAAGCACATTTGTCTCACATTTTCCCATAAAATTCTTAAAAGGTAATGATTTTGCCCATCTGTATACCGGCTACCAGCCATTATTCTGTATTTATAATACCGTTTTGTGGTCACTTCCGGTCAGTCAAAAATGCATAGGAGTCATATATTAAATTATAAAGAATATACCTGTTCTAAATGTCACAATGAAAATTTTTACAAGTGCAATATCCAGAACCTAAACACATATGCAGCAATTCTGTTCTTATCGTTATTATTTGTGATACGTTTATTTTTCAATGCTTAAAGTTTTATAAATGATTTATGGCACTAGAATTATTCTTAGTAAAAACTAGGTAGTATCTACGATGACATAAATCTTAGTAAAAACTAGGTAGTATATACGATGGCATAAAGGGGACATAGAATTTTCTTATTTGTTACGTGCGCACACGATAGCTTTTACGTGGCCACGCGATACTATTACGTGCGCACGCGATAGCAATTGCATGTGCATGCGGATATGTATTCCGCATTCGGACCCTGACCGGGATCCTCGAATGAATAGTTCGTCGCCCCGTGTATGTGTCGAGAGTCTACAGTGGTAAGGGGCAAGTGGGTTTTTTTTTAAATCACTCGGCCACGGAGGTCCTTAAATGATCTATAACAGAAAATAAGAAGACCATTACACACTATTTTGTTTTCATCAGAAATATATGTATTAAAAAATCGTCATTCTTTCAGATCCGCCATTGAATAAGCACTTAAAACATGCATGAGTTCCTGAAATAATCCGGGCTATGCCATAATTATGGAATATCGGGCCACTCAGAATCGAGCAAGACGCGACATTCCGATGAGACACGAAGCCAGGCACGATTTTGTAACACGAGATCTCGCAATGTCAAAGTATCCCTTTTCACGAGATTAAGAAATGAATCAATTTTTACTTCTTTAGATAGGGAAAGTATGAATTTATTAATATTCAAATAATGATTTCTGAGGAAGTTAGATGCTTGTAACCCAAAGAAATGCGCAATAAATGTAAAATAATGCGGCATGAAAGTAGAAAAATGTAAACAAAGTAGTATTTTGACTTCAGTACAGAATTCTAAATCACTTTCAATACAAACTGCAAAAAATCAGCAGATGAAAAAAATGCTTCATGTAATTAGCTAATGAGTAACTTTTTGGAGCTATAAAAGTATACCAAAAATAAAAAGCTTTTGAAAAATACAAATAATAGCATTTCTCTATCATAATGGGCCTTTAAGTGATTTTATGTAGACTATAAAGGGAATACTACTTAGCAGTATATGACCTGAAATCAATTTCTTGTCTCGCTTCGACGAGGGAGATGCGTAGCGAGACGCGAGATTTCGCTAGACGCGAGATTTCGGCGAGATGCGGTGTTCCGTTTGGACATAAGTAATATTTTTGTCTCCCTGAACAGCTATGCACAATGGTTCAAAAGTGAAACTGAGATGGTACGATGATTAAAACACGATGGCACGATGGTGAAATCACGATGATGCGATGACACGATAGAGAAAATAATATCGCGTTTTCATCATCATACCATCGCAGTTTCATCATACCGTACCATTGTATTTTCACCATCGTAACATCGTCTTTCACCATAGTAACATCACGTTATCATCATCGATACTTTGTTGTTTATACCATCGTACAATCGTTGTTTCACTATCGTACAATCGTTGTTTGACGTTCGTACCATTGTGTTTTCACCATTGCACCATCGCGTTTTCATCAACGTACCGTCCTGTATCGCGCTGTCACCATTGTACCTTCGTAAACGGAATTTAGTATGTTTCAGTGTACGCCTTCAGGTTAAGCCAAACATTTTTTTTAATTAGAGATATTATAATTCATAGTTCACTTTAGGTTTTCATAAAGAAAGCATAAGCAAACCTATTGATTATTACACTTCACATGTGGTGAAACGGCGAACCTCGATTCTGAAAAAAGAATTTCTGCCGTGGAGAAATATGTGACAAATAATTCATAAAAAAATTGACATGAGACAAATGTGCTTTTTTGTCCCTTAAAAACACATGAGACAAATGTGCTTTCTTGTCCCTTAAAAAACTTGTTTGGAGCACATTTGTCACACAAATGAGTTATTTGGGGTAGACATTTGAGCTCCCATTTGTCTCATGTGGGACAAATGCGACCGCATCGGTCTTACGTAAGACAAATGTGCTCAGAGACAAATGTGCTCCTACAGAGCTCCTTTAAACCGATGACCATATAGACCTAGCTATTGAATAAACTTGAAACTTGTGATGGTTGTTTAAAGTTGTTCTATTAAATGGAATATAAAGGAAAACGCCAATGAAACTTTTCCATGATATTTCTAGTTGGGTTATGTGATATTAAGGCACAACAACGGCATTTACTGTTCGTAACCCAGAAATGTTAAGGGTTAACGTCAGGACAAACAATTAAAAAAGTTTAGTTACCTTTCTAATATACAGAGCGCATTAATTTATATAGTACACGTTTGAATAAAAGCAAACTTAAAGGCAAAACTTTATGTAAATGCAAAAGAATTGCACCGGGAGAGCACAATAATCAAGTCACAACCCTGAAGGTCAGGGTCACACTCAAAGGTCCAATGTAAAAAAAACATCTATTTTTCATGTCCGCTCTATAACTTATTGACAATTCAAAGGTTTTAAACTTACTTGACACAAATGATCACCACCATGACACAAACTGCAGAGTTCAACATCCCTGTTGCTACCCCCAAGGTCAAGGTTGTATGTTCTCCATATTTTTTTTATTAATGGAAGATTTCATATAACTTGGCACAAATAATCACCATCATGAGACTATGTGATTATGATATGCATGGCATAACATCAATGTCGTGGCTGGTAAAAGGTCAAGAAGTACACATTCATGTTCACTGCGGAAGGGGATTACTGCCTTGCTCATATTTGAACACCCCTCGTACATACATGTATATATGTTGGACAACTTATAATAAAAATCACTGCTTTATACTGGTTTATAATTATGACTGGCTCTCAGGCAAAATTTACAAAGAACATCGCTACAAACACAACAAACAAACAGACAAACAAACAATAAAGAAATAAATAAACAAACGCCGATATAAATAAATTTTTATTTGATCTTTTAAGCAGATGAATGTGATTGAGATAAAAGAAAAAGAATGTGAATATTGCATTGCAGCATTTAATTTGTTTGTTTTTAATCTTCAAAAACTAGCATTGCTATATAAGATATAAAGATATAAAGAATGTTCAAATTCTTTACGCAATGTTTATATTATTTACGTATACTTTAGCATTGATTTAGTTTAAAAGAAATATATAAGCATCTAACATAATACAAAAATAAATTAGTAATCAGTAAAAACATCAATACAACGTGTTTATCTTTATTTTAAGTTGCAACGAGATTCCAATCATCGAGATCTAGTCGTTTTAAATTTAAAAGAAGTCATATATTTTTACTTCATTTGAAAGATTGACAAACATCCATTACAACGTAATCCATTGATTAGAAACATTGAAGATCGATTCCGATAGTACGAATGTCAAACCAAATTATATCTTAGTATACAGTAAAAACTCTGAAAACCGGACCATGTACATATATTATAATTCATCAAAATTTGAGCTCTCTTATGATTGTCCTATGCCTGTAAAATACAAAACATAGATTTAATTTGCAATACGGTATTGTGTATATACATGAATGTTAAAATATATAAGATTATAATTACGGCGAAAAACCAAAATTATTGTAAAAGAACAAAAGACAAAATTCCAAGCATTTACTAGTTATTAGGTGCTACATGTATTATCCAGAAATAAAATTACATTTCCAGAATATTTTGAAATTATAATCCTACCTTTAATTCTTTTAGTTTTCTGATAAGTCGTAGAAGTTCTTTGTTCTGAAGAACATTCTTTCTCTTGAATGCAGTGCTGGCTTCTCCTTCATCGTCCCCGGCACCGGTGCCACCAGACTGGTTTACTCCGCCTTCGCCATCACTCATTGGTGGACTCTTTTGCTCACCAGCACCACTGGCTGGCCTTTCAGCCGGTCCGCTTCCTGTGTTTTCTTCATCATCACCAGAAAGTTTTTGGTCATCTCCAACCACTGGCTTTCCTTCACCATTAGCATCCGCAATTTGGTTTATTTGGTTATCATCTTCAACATCATCATCGGCTGCTTGTTCTTCTACTCCTTCTGTTCCCACTACTGATTCAGTTTCTTCTTCACCGAAACTGGTGTCTGTTTGGCTTTCTTCAAGTACCTCTATTTCGCTGGAAATTTCGGGAGTCTTATCATTATTTGGCTGAAGATGTTCAGCTGCATTTTGCATTTCAGATTCTATTTCATCTAATGCCTTATCGGTTTTTTGTACATTTGTTTGTACAATTTGATCATAATCTTCTAAAGTGTCCAGAAATTTTATGAGAAAGTCTACAATATCACCTGCTTCGTTTAGTTTACCATTTCTCAATCCCTCTTTTATGATTTCCAATAGATCTTCGACATTCTCCCTGACTCCATCAAACTCATGTCTTAAGTTTTCTTCAATGTCGTATGGGATTTTATTGTCTTCATTATTACTACCAGATTCTGAAAGCATTTCAAACCTAACTAATGATTAGATATCCCAACCAATTATTAAATCATACAGTTCGATGTTTACGTTTATTTTGATGAAAATATTTATTTTACTGACAAGCAAGTGTTATCATAATCTACATAGTCTGATAAAACAAAATGATATATGTATGCAAGTTTTACAAAGCATTTTTGGATTAAGGGCTCTGGACGATAATATACATGTATTAACCTTACAATTGTCATGAACAGAACTTACCGTATTGCACAAACTTTAAGGTTTCTATTTTGATTTATTTCGTTAAATTAAAATATAATTTTGAACATATCAAAATCAAATATTTCTATTACGGTCTTGTTTTTAAACATTTTTTACAATAAAAAATCTTGGTATTTATGCAGTAGCTTTTTGAGTTTGATAACACCAACATCACGATTTGTAAGTAGAAGTGCAAACATTATTTACTTCTTTTGAATCTTTGACAAAAATTGTTTATTATATATTTGGTTAATACAGAATTTATTTTAGTTCGATTGTGTAGGAAGCTATACGACACACTTTCGAATCCGTTCCTGGAACCATCCACTACTGAGCAATGAGTGTAAAGTTTCTTGCTCAAGGAAACAACGACTTGCCCCTGACGGGGTTTGAATCCATACGGCTAGCGATCATGAGATTACTAGTCCGACGCGTTAACCACTCGGCCATGCCGCCACATAATATATTTCTGCTGTATGATTGAAATTCGCAGATTCTTAATATCTGAGGCTGCATGACTGTTTTAGGAAATTTGAAACTGAAAAAAAGAGAAATATATTACCGATCTCATTTACGCTATTTTGTTCATCTCCGAAGCCGACAGTTCCTGCAGTTTCGGAATCCTTACCACCAGCCGGAGGAGGATTGTCACTTATCTCGTCTCCCTGTTTATTTTCTCCACTCTGTTCATTTTTTGGCAAGTCAGCAATGTCACTTTTCGGCAAGTCAGCAATTTCAGTTTTTGGCAAGTCAGCATTTCCAGTTTTTGGACGGTCAGTATCTTCAGTTTTTGGCAGATCAGCATTTTCAGTTTTTGACAGATCAGCATTTTCAGTTTTTGACACGTCAGCATTTTCAGTTGGTGGAAGCTCATCATTATTTGATGACTGTTCTTGTGGTTGAAATAATGGTAAGTCATCATCATCTCTCCTGGACAAATACGTTATTAAATCATCCAGCACGCTTAGCTCCCTCTGTTTTTCTGCTTTCGATAGGGGTTTTGCATCACCATGCCGTAACACGGTTGCGAAACAAACGAGAATCGCTAGAACAGTAAACAAAAATTGCATTTTAAAAGTTGCGTGTTAAACACCCTAACAGTCGGTATCCAACTGATGAAAATTACATCAAAGCTAGATCTGTGGTAACGCATGTGAGGTTCCTACGAGTATTGTTTATAGAGTCCTCAAATATTAAAAAAATATTTATCAATACCAATACAATGTTAATCACTTCACGATATTAGTGAAAAGAAATGTACTGGAATTGCTTGTGTGTATGAATGTGACATAATAGTTTATTTGTTATTAAATGTCTAACAATTTAAATTTAACATGTTTAATTAACTAAAATGTTACATATATAATTTTGGTTTGATAAACAGTGTTTTTCTTTCGGGTCCATTCACTAATCTTGTTTCGGTTGTCCGTATATGTGACGCCTGTTATGCTCGGGGTGAATATATAACGGCTACCCTGATTCTTTCATATGCCGCTGGTGCAGCACAGAATAACCCAAGATCTACTATATTTTGTGTAAAGCGGGGGTTGACTCCCTTAAGAATACTAGTCTAGCACGATTCGACTGGGTCATGAATCGGCCTTTTATGATGCGCATTTGATTGAAGTTAAAGCTTAATGAGGGTTCATCCGCCCTTTCGGGCACAAAATGCAGCTTGCGCTGTCGAGTACGGACCCCGGACATGTCACCAGTCATGTCCTTAAAGAGTTAATTTTGAAGCACAAAGTGGTGATTATTTACCTCCATGCAATTTCCACAGAGTATTAGCCAAAGATATGAATTTTGAGCCAAAAGTAGGTCACTGTACGGCGGTCAATGAGAACGTAATTGTACAGTAACCTGTGACAATAGGAAAGGTTAACCCTGAAAAGGGCTGTTTGCGACAGCAATAGGCCTGCCTTTCAAGCCGTCTAACCACACCGTCCTCGTCGACCCAAGCGCCTACTTTGTAGGGCCACTCCCCTCGGCATTAGTCAGGACACCGGCAGCTGGTCCGCAGCACAAGTTTCGATCTTTTTGCGTCGTCCCCAGTCTTCAAATCTTCTGCCGATGCCCTGTGCCTTCTCAGCGACGTGCACGCTCCAAGGGGAGGTGAGAAGTTTATGATGCGCAGCTTTTTCTTTATGATGCGCAGCTTTTTCTTTAGACTTATATTAAGTATGGAACAGTCATTTTAAAGCGCTTAAGTAGCTAAAGGCTCCAGTTGGTTAGATCATTTATCGTTGATAGTAGTTTATAAGATTATCTGCTGCATTTGCTCAGTTTGTAAAATACATTATTTCAATTTTAACCTAACCAGGCAGTGTTTCATGTATGTTATAGATAAGAATAAAATAATGAATAAAAAGAGAAAAGATTCACTGATGTTGTGAACCGCCCCATGAATTAGGTAACCATAAAGTTGACCATTCCACGTTGCCTGGCAGAGGTATTGTATCATAAATTACAATTCAAATGTTTTTGTTTTATCAATTACATTTTACCCATGTTACCTAGGTTTGTTCTTAAACGGGCTGTACATGTTCTCGTTTTTGTGGAACTTACGACAATTTCTTTGAACATGTTTTATTTATAATTGATTACCATTGAATAACTATAATTGTAGTCCCCAATTGTAAGTTACATGTTGAAAGCTTATTCTTTGTTAAATAAGTTTCTCAAAGTTTGCTGAAACAAAATCATTTTGAAAATGTTTTCCAAGCCCGGCCAATTAGAAAAATGTTAGATATGGAAAGAAGACGACTTGTCTCGTATATTGGTGGATATTTATGTGTAACAATAACTAAAGCAATCAAGCAAATGATTCTTCATCGGACACCTCTTGCAAAACTATCTGATACTATTTAAGCACATTACTTATACTCGTAAGCCACACTCACAGATCAGCTAGAGGTGACTCCTTAATTCACAAGGCACTGATACATCGTACTTTTCTGTTTGCAGAAAATGAGAAAGGAGATTTATTTCATTACGGGCCTCAATATGTGTAGGAGGCTTAAATATGGTTGACGATCAAATATTAAACATGATTTTATACTTATCAGAATGGGTCTTCTTTCAAAAGTTAACTTAATGCAAATTAGATGTAGATGAGTTTTATGTTTGTATAGGCGTACAAACATCCCACTGAATACCCCCCGAGTATTACTTCATCAATAGATGCAAGTCAATCGTGATGAAACTTTTAAACGAACTCCATTGAGGTTCAAAACTCTTAAAAAATGAATGTCTCACATAGATTAACTAGGACAAGAAATGATGAAGAAATAAACTAAAACTTAATTTTATTGTGCCATTCTAAGTCCGATTTGAAATAAAAGCGTTTTAAAACGCTAAATTTTCATTTGTCGACCATTTGCATGCACAATTATGATGATTCTTTTGGAAAATCGGAGTGAGCGAATGTTTTTGGTCTACCACACAAAATTAGAAACATTATTTTCAGTTCTGTCATGTCAAAAACAACACAAAAAAAACCCACAAAAAACAACATCAAAAACACAACAACAACAAAAACACCAAAAAGACTCAGTTGAGTCCTGTATTTTGAATTAAGAATTTTACATGCAGTAACTAAAAGATCATAATTGGATAACGTACGTGGCTTTAATTATTTGCATTCTAGATTATCTTTTTACCCCCCCCCACCTCCCCTAAAAAAAGAAAGATAAAGAATAAGAACTTGTTTGATAGACCACCTGTCAACAACGACCACGTTTTTCTTACATAGCAAGGTCATCAGCTTAAATCAAATTACTGTGGATGTACACCCTACGACAATTCTATATTCTACGGCTAGACACTACAATTACTTAATTAAATAATAAATGAGGAATTTTGAGGGTACTAATAAATATTATTTACCCGGCCATTAACTCTATTACTGATACGCCTATGATAACAGCATACATTATTTTAAAATTCTTCTAAAAACATCGATAGGTATTATGTATAAAAATATTCAGCATAAAGTATTCTATAGATAGGAATTGAAGTGTAAAGTTATATTTAAATGCGTCGTTCAGCTTTCTATTTCTTTTTAAAAATCTACTACTGGATTTTTAAACGAATGACAGCTTTAACACAGTCCTAGGTAGGTTTTTCAAATCATCATCATCATCATCATCATCATCATCATCAACAACAACAACAACAACAACAACAACAACAACAACAACACAATAACAAAAAAACTAAACAAAAATCAAGACAACGGTCACGGGACATTTTTAAAATGATTACTAGTATTGACCAATCAACGTTGAAAATTGATGTCTACACGTTATTTAAAGCTAAAGATTGACCCGTTGAAAACTGATCCCGTTGAAAAGTGACCCCGTTTAAAATTGATCAACAGTATAGCAAAATGAAGACAAATTACATCACTGGAAGTTTGGAGGCGTTTATTTTAAAAGATACGTTGCTCCCTAGCTTATTTGATAAAATAGTATTTCTTTACAGCTCGTCTTAATTAAAAGAAACAAAAACAGTATTTTCATATTGTAATTATTTGCAAGTTATTGATAAAGGAATCGAAAATGTAAGCCAGTTTTTCATAAACGAAAAGAACGACCACTTATTATCAACAGAGGAAATCTGACGCTTTAGTTGAAGGTATGCATAGAGTGTGTCAGATTGAAGACATGTATTATAATGTTTCATATATCCCGTAATAAAACTATAAAACTAATGATACATAGGGTCAGTGTCCGAGTGGTTCAGGTCGTCGACTTCAAACCACTTGCCTGTCACCGTTGAGGGTTCGAATCCTGAAAAGGGACTTTGGATTCTTTCTCGAATCCTGAAGGGATCTTTGGATTCTTTCATCCAGCTAACAGACGTAACGTCGGTGGTTCTACTCAGCTGGCAGTTAGTACCTGATAGGGCGTCTGAGCTAGGTCTTCCTTCACCAGTAAATCTGGATTAAATTCGCCGTATGACCGTAACTGTGTTAATTGATGCGGCGTAAAACCAAAAAATAATACATAGGGTTCTTCAAAATGGAGCCTTAACAGTACATTTGAATTTAATCTTATCAATATTTTGAGCGAAGCTAGTGGGATCCTTCAATGTCCCAGTGTGTTATTTCATAGAACTTTATCATTTGTGAAAATAAAAAATTGATTATTGTTAAAGTATTTCAAAAAAATTTATATTAAAGTTTAACTATAAAAGGTCATTCGCTCATAATCTGTTTAAGTCACAAATCATGGCCTTGCAAAATAAATGCAGGGTGTAAATTATATGTAGAATCTTTATGCTAATTCATTGTTGCTAAGCATTTCAAATATAGATGCATCTAAATATGAATATATAAGTACCCGTCGTTAAATATACATCAAAATATACACCACAGTGAAGATAAGTTTCTTTCCAAAAGAACTCACACTCAATTGATTTCCTGTAGAAGTTAAATATGGTTATACCAGTGTAATAGTTTTATATAGCATATAACATCCATGTACAGTCCGTGATATTTCTATCATATCAACAGGTTTAACATTTAAAGAGGCAGACGTTTGATTTCCTAGCTCCCTTAGCTCAATAGAGAACATATCTTATTTGTTAACCAGTGGTCAATGGTTCATTCCTCTAGCGAGCAGAAAGTTTTCCGTGACAACTAATCTCGGACGTCGAGTCTACTGGTCATTTGTCGCTCACCAAGCATTATGAATAAGTAGTCGATAACTTGCGGAAAAAATACCGGATACTTATATACTGGTTAGTTATCCAGGACCGAGCGCCCAAAACTGTGTTAAAATCGGCATAAAACCAACCAAACTAGAAAAGCAGACATGGCCGTAAAATTGAATTTAATTTTCCAAATCGCGGCATCCTCACACATTATTTTAATCAAGTGGTAACAACATAAAAAGGTGTATATGAGCCGCGTCACGACAAAACCAACATAATGGGTTTGCGACCAGCGTGGATCCAGACAAGCCAGCGCATCCGCGCAGTCTGATCAGGATCCATGCTGTTCGCTTACCAACCCTATTACAAGTAGAGAAACTGATAGCGAACAGCATGGATCCTGATCAGACTGCGCGGATGCGCAGGCTGGTCTGGATCCATGCTGGCCGCAAACCCATTATGTTGGTTTTGTCATGACGCGGCTCATATACGTTTCATCATTATTGTCGGCAAGTCTATTGCAATTATTGTCCGGAGTATAGCTCGAAATAATATTGAGGAGATATTGACTTAAAACTTGAATAATGTACGGTTGACAAAAAGTAAATTTTGTAGCTCGAAAAACATTTTACTATCCTTTGTTAACAAGTGCGTGGTCATTTTTACTTGCGTATGTGGCACTTTTTACGTGCATTGGTGAAAATACATTTGTCACAATGTCCCCTCTGTACAACCGTAGTTCCGCATAGTTCAAAGCGCTGTTTTGCCCGGAGTGTAAATAATTTTCAATGATAACTATGGTTTATCACATTAGGAATTCAACAAGTTGGTTAATACACATCGTTCAAATCGAAACTCCAATAAAATTTGTGCAACAAAATCAATTTTGTTTAAACCTCCCATAAAGTAAATAATGTATTGATATTTTATTTATTCAGAAATGACGAAAGAGACAAGTAAAACAATAATAAATGTTTAATAAGTGGCGACAAAAGTAAAAGTAAAACGTAAAAATGAAATTAAATCATAATCAATAAAACGACAGCAAACAATACTTAACATCCATGCAAAGAGACCATCTAAGCTCCGCTGTTATTATAAAGTACTAAACATATGTATTTGCAACAGATTAACAGTAACAGCATGCTCTTTTTTCTCTCTATAGAGCTGAATTAGTTATATGTTTAAAAGGTTGACTTTAATAATGGTGATTTACCAATTATTGATAATGAAAATTGAGCCGCGTCATGACAAAACCAACATAATGGGTTTGCGACCAGCATGGATCTAGACCAGCCTGCACAGCCGCACTTGTAATAGGGTTTGGTAAGCAAAACAGCATGGAACTGATCAGAACTGCGCGGATGCGCAGGCGTCTGGATACATGCTGGTCGCAAACCCATTATGTTGGTTTTGTCATGGCACGGCTCAAAATGATCGTAATACAATATGAAGAAAACTACTTAGCCATCTTTCTCACGTTACTTGATACCTTCTGAACGATATCATACAAATTCCATTGGGTCACCGCACTGCGACGCTATGATACTGTGGATTTATGATAATTTTTTCATCCTAAAATATAAAATAATTTCAACCCAATTATGGCAAAATGTCAATTTATTATGATTTTTACATAATCACTGACCATTTACAATTGAATGGGTGCAATTCCACTTGAACTGTATTGTAAAATTTTGCAAGTTTATTCCTTGGACATATCTATACACTACTTGAATAGATTAGCACTGCAACTGCATGGGAGTGATTTTTTTGTCATCATAGTAACAAAATTTAAACAAAGTAGTATTTTGACATCCATACATAATACTATATCAATTTAATTGCACTAATTGCCAGAAAACAATTAGGATGATAGTTCAGATAATTGCCAAATGAGTATCTTTTTGAAAACTATATAACAGGACACCAAAAATAAAAAGCTTTTGAGAAATTAAATTAACCGTCTTCCTGAAGACATACTACTGTGGGCCTTAAACATCATTTTTACATTTGTTGTTGTCTTTATATTTAATATTTCATGTAACTTGTTTTGTTAAATACTTGTTTTGGAATAGGCCAAACTGTTTTTTTTTTCTACATAAAGTAAAACATTTAGTGGTGTTCAGTGTAAAGACGACGGCGATGACATTATATTAGACTAATTTAACCCATTACTGACAGACAGCATGAGTTTTCACGTGTGAGGGATTTATAATTATTTTTCAACGCTAAGAAACATATAAAAAGCTACGTAATGAAAGTAAAGTTCTTTGTAGGAATCCTGACAATTTATTTGAGGGAAAACAAAGAAAGATATACACAAAGGTAAACGTTTTGACTTTTTCCCAAAGTGAAGTAGTATTCGGATAGATTTTTTAGATATCACTGGTCATTTGCACTTGAATGGGTGTAATTCCACTTGAACTGTATTGTAAAATTTTGCAAGTTTATTCCTTGGACATATTTATACACTACTTGAATAAATTAGCACTGCATGGGAGTGATTTTTTTTTGTCATCATAGTAACAAAATTTAAACAAAGTAGTATTTTGACATCCATACAAAATACTATATCAATTTAATTGCACTAATTGCCAGAAAACAATTAGGATGATAGTTCAGATAATTGCCAAATGAGTATCTTTTTGAAAACTATATAACAGGACACCAAAAATAAAAAGCTTTTGAGAAATTAAATTAACCGTCTTCCTGAGACATACTACTGTGGGCCTTTAAACATCATTATTTACATTTTGTTGTTGTCTTTATATTTAATATTTCTGTACTTATTTTGTTAAATACTTGTTTTGGAATAGGCCAACTTGTTTTTTTTTCTACATAAAGTAAAACATTTAGTGGTGTTCAGTGTAAAGACGACGGCGATGACATTATATTAGACATAACCCATTACTGACAGACAGCATGAGTTTTCACGTGTGAGGGGATTTATAATTATTTCAACGCTAAGAAACATATAAAAAGCTACGTAATGAAAGTAAAGGTTCTTTGTAGGAATCCTGACAATTATTTGAGGGAAACAAAGAAAGATATACACAAAGGTAAACGTTTTGACTTTTTCCAAAGTGAAGTAGTATTCGGATAGATTTTTTAGATATTATTTTCGTTGGGAGAAGCATTCCTAGGAGTAGGATACAGTTCATGCTGCTGTCACATTCAGCATGTGAAATCAATACTGCATATTATAAAAGGATCCCTTGCTTTGGGATAGTGGTTTTATTTCGTATTAGCTCAGAGCTTCAGATAAAGATTTGAGAAAATTTTAGAAATTTAATATCTGTCTGCAGCAAAATACTTGTTTACAATTATAACCCTCTTACCCATAACACTAACATTAACCCTGGAAGTAATTTGAGTGATTTTGTAAAGAAACATTTATATTGAAGAAATAATATTTGGTGAAATAATGTTAAAAATTATAGCTGTGGACATATTAACAGATTTATTAAGCAGTGATTAACTTTTGTTTCAGACAGACATTAAATACACGTTAGTTTTCTGTCCTGTGTGTATGTCATGGTTCAGAACTGTTCATTATTAAGGTGAGAAGATGTGTAAGCGGCCTGATAGCTCAGCCGATAGTGTAGAGTAATGGTATTCCGAGGTTCCCCGGTTTGAGTCCCGGTCTGGCTGCACATTTTTCACACCCTGTGACATTTGGCGCCCAACATAGTTCTGTGACAGAATATATCTCAGAGTTTAATTTACATTGGTCTGTGACCCTATGTAATTAGAGGACAAATTTCAATATATGTTGGGAAGTATGTCACAGTTCAGACATGTTCACTATTTAAGGGGGAGAAGATGTGTATGTGGCCGGATAGCTGAGAGTTGGGAACAGTATTTCAAGGATTCCGGGTTTGAGTACCAGTCAGGCTGCACATTTTTCTCACCCTGTGATATGTTTTACATAAATAATAAACAAAATTAGATTTAAACTATTGCAGGTAGTTTATATAATAATGTTTTTTTCCTGTTTGTTGGTTATCATTATCTTTTAAATATATTATATTTATATTACGATTTAATGGCGTTATACAGTAGTGTTCCTTATACATAGTAACCATATGATCAAGTGTGTGCTTTACATGTATTTGAGTTCACATTAAAAGTGGATCACTCTATTTCTGGTATAATTTAACACATATTCATTTTAAATGTATTTTAAGGTATGTTAATTGATACTTAGAGAAAGTAGTTGCAGTCAAGTTATTTATATCATTTAGTGTGTGGTATCAATTCAAAAATTTTGTTTTTTGTTTGTTATAGTTCCAAGAAACTATGATCCTAGTCTTCATCCATTTGAAGCCCCGCGAGAATATATAAGAGCATTGAATGCTACAAAGCTTGAGCGTGTGTTTGCTAAACCATTTATTGGTTCACTTGATGGTCATAGAGATGGTGTACACAGTCTAGCCAAACATCCTACAAGATTGTCCTTATTATTGTCTGGGGCATGTGATGGTGAGGTAAGTCTACTGCTGTTTATTTTTTTCACCCCTCCCGTTTTTATGCCAATTTTGTTTGGGCACCTTTTTCCTTTCTCTAATTAAAATATTTTCTTCCTTACCTCTGGCAAAATTCTTATTTAAAAGATAATTACACAATAAATGGAAAGCATGGTTAACCTGCTTGGCACATTTAGTGTTTATTATGCCCCCGCCATGTAATGGCCGGGGCATATAGTGTTACCCTGTTCCGTCATTCCGTCCTTCCGTCCTACCTTCCTTCCGTCATTCTGTCATTCCGTCATCATCAGTTTCCGTTCATTATCTTAAGAACGGTTGCACACATTCAACTCAAATTTGACATATGGATATGTCATGAGAAAATACAGGTCAAGTTCGAATTTGGTCATGGTTCGATGATTTTTGGCAGAGTTATGCCCCTTTTACTTTGAAAATAATATGAAATTTCAGTTTCCGTTCATTATCTCCCCAACGGTACAACACATTCAACTCAAACTTGACATATGGATATGTCATGAGAAAATACAGGTCAAGTTCGAATTTGGTCGTGGTTCGATGATTTTTGGCAGAGTTATGCCCCTTTTACTTTGAAAATAATATGAAATTTTCAGTTTCCGTTCATTATCTCCCCAACGGTACAACACATTCAACTCAAACTTGACATATGGATATGTCATGAGAAAATACAGGTCAAGTTCGAATTTGGTCGTGGTTCGATGATTTTTGGCAGAGTTATGCCCCTTTTACTTTGAAAATAATATGAAATTTCAGTTTCCGTTCATTATCTCCCCAAAGGTACAACACATTCAAATCAAACTTGACATATGGATGCGTCGAAGGAATGCGCAGGTCAAGTTCAAATTTGCTCATGGTTCAATGATTATTGTCAGAGTTATGCCCCTTTCACTTTGAAAGTAATATGAAATTTTCATTTTCCGTTTATTATCTCCCCAATGGTGCAACACATTCAACTCAAATTTGACATATGGATATGTTTTTGGAATGCCCAGGCCAAGTTCGAGTTTGGTCATGGTTCAATGATTTTTGGCAGAGTAATGCCCCTTTCACTTTGAAAATAATATGAAATTTACAGTTTCTGTTCATTATCTACCCAACAGTGTTACATATTCAACTTAAATTTGACATATGGATATGTCAAACGAATGGGCAGGTCAAGTTGGAATTTGGTCATGGTTTGATGATTTTTTGGCAGAGTTATGTCCCTTTCACTTTGAAAATAATATAGATACATCTTAGGAATAAGCAGTTTAAGTTTGAATTTGGTTGTAGTTCAATGATTTTAAGACAAACTTATCTTTCCTGAATGTTGGAAAAATTTTGAACTTTCAGTTTCAGCACTCTTACTTTTAGCCATTATTTTGGCTACAAATATGCAATATGCTATTTTTAAAAGGTTTAGACTGAATAATTTCAGTGCCTTGAACATTGTATGAAAATGGTTTGTGTTAACATTGAAAAGTTTTAAGGGCTTTGAACTTAAAATGAAAAAAATAATTAATGCACCATCTGAAATTTTGGCTGCATGCGGGGGCATCCGTGGCATGATGACACATTTCTAGTTGAAATAAACTTGATGTTTAAATGAATGATTAAATAAACAATATTGCGAAGTATACTGTCAGGAGTATTCACATTTAGGCATTCTAAATTGGATGAAAAAGTAGGACAAAGACTAAGCAGTGTATTAAAAAGATGGCAAGTATTCTAAAACAAATGACACAATACATTTGTATTCTGACAAACTAAAACAGGCAATTCAAATTATGTAGGTTTGTTTGTACATTTACAAGTTTTTCAGTAACTTCAGAATTTAAACTTTCTTATCTTAGTAGAAATGTCAAGACACATAATTTTTCTGTCTCTGAAATAAATATAGTGGTGGTTATTCTGTGTTATTTTTACTGAAAATTTTTCATGTAGATACGAGCTTGGGATCTCGCTAGAAGACAGTGTGTGTCCCATGTACAGGCACATGATGGTTTTGTTAATGGTTTATGTTCAATACCAGATGGCACAGGATTTATGTCTGTAAGTAAATACTAATACAATATATAAATATCTGCAGATTTACTTTATGTCTGTCAGGGCTTTTTTCTTAGCACTTTGGTAACATGAACAGACACCCAGAATTGGGAATTTTTACCATGTTTTAGACAAATTGGTAAAAACTGACAACATATTGTAGACATCAAACAAGTCGAAGAAATCAAAATTTAATATTTGGGTAATATTACAATTGGGAATGCAAGATGACAATTTTCTATGGCACTGTGCGGTTAAATGTAGAGGTATCAATTATTCAGGTTATATGATGTAACACATGATGCTACAAAAGGACATAAAAAATGATATCTTTTGATGTGATCAGTCTATATTTCTTTAATATGATCTTTGAAATTACTTAATGACACAATTGTTCACCATTTTGACTGTCGGCATTCTGTTGGTAAAATCATTTTTCGGACATAAGTCACCATTATTGTATTATTATTGACAGATATCTAAAACAATTTTGAATGTTAGGATATGCTATTATTGAAAAAATTTGCTTAATTTATATAAACATGCCTTGAGTATTAATGTGGAATTCATGTGGAATTGTTATTTAGTGTGGTACAGACAAAACTGTGAAGCAGTGGTCATTGGGTGAAGATGGAATAATGAGTCATGAACCAGTCAGTACACTTTTAGGAAAGGTAAGTACATGTTTATCTCAGTTCAGTTCTTTAAAAAATATATGATAATGAGGAAATGTGTAAAGTTGAAATTAGAGGGTGTAAAGCTGTAATTGCTAGCTGGCCCATTACATGGTTTGTTGTGTCTTGTCATATAAAGTAGACATAAAGATAAAGTAAAATAATAAGACACCTACCAGGTGAAAATCCTTATATCAAACTTGGTAAAAGCAAGAGTCATTTTGTAATGTACATGTAAGTGGACAGAACAATTATTTTGTCATGTGACATAACAGATTGTTACCCTCTGATGCCATGTATTAAGGCAAAATTTAAAATAAAAATTACTTGAGTAATAATATTATCAGATTATTATATATTGTTGAGTACAAAACTGAATTCTGTTGGACCAATACCCAGCTGGTTAAACTATTGGATGTTACACTAGCCAAGTCTGATATAGGTTTTGCAGCTGTATATGAGTTAAACTACAGAATCAGTATTGTACACAACCATTACAATAGGGGTTTTATATGGATTGTATAGTCACTCTCAAAAATAAAAAGAGGCTAGATGAAATATAATATGCATTTGATAAAGGTATTTTGGACTGAAATGAAAATGACGAAGAAAAAAAAAAGAGAAAACAAAGCTTTACGGGTTGTGATAATGGATTTGATATGGACTTTGACTCAGAAAATGAAAACAAGACAAAATTGATAAGATTGGATCTATTAATGATTTCTATTGGAACATAAAGTGGGTCAAAGGCTGAAAGTTCATTGTTTATGATTTATAATGGAAAATATTTATATGGATTTAATATATATGGAAATTGGAAAGGGGAAAGTCATATGCAGTATAACAAGTTGGCCATCAAAGACCTAGATCGCACACAATGTCTCTAAGGCTATTCATGACAAGTGATAAATAATTTTGCCAATTGTGAATAAAAAAGCAAGCACAAGGTTAGATTCTAGGTCAGCTTATAATCAAAGTTCAGTTCTGCATCTGAATCTGTGCATATTGTCCAAACTTCATAGCTGTAGCTATAATGCAACAAAAAAAAATAGGTCACAGTATCAAATTCTAGGTTAACTGGTACTTAGCTAGCCTTTGGTGGCATATCAAACTGATTATGTGTTTTGGGTAAAATATTCATTCAAAACAGTCTTTCCTTTAATTTTGATGCTAATTTTCAAACATATATCTAGGCAATGCTATGTATAAGAAAACAAAGGAGCAGTGAATAAAATGACAGAAAATAGGAGAGAAAAAGGAAGAAAGTAGAAGCAGTGTTTAATGTCATATTAAAAGATGTTGTCATGTCACAGCCTACCTGAAACATATAAATAATAAAAAAAAATCTTTCTAATTTTTTTTATAGACAGTATTTGAACAGATTGATCACAGTTATGGCAATAATACATTCGCTACATGCGGTCAGCAGGTGGACATATGGGAGAGTGACCGCGCCGAGCCAGTCAGGTCATTTACCTGGGGTGTAGATAGTGTACATGCTGTAAAATTTAACCCTATTGAGGTATGATTAAAAACTCTCTTTCAAACTCACCTGAGCACAAGTTTCTCAGAGGTGAGCTTTCGTAAGTGCCGATTTCGAGTTTTGGCGAGATTTTAGGGTCTTTTTAGCTCGACTATTCGATAAGAATAAGTAGAGCTATTGTAGTCACCCGAGCGTGAGCGTCGGCGTCGGCGTAACCACTTATGTTAAAGTTTTTGTAATAGTTCAAATATTTTCAAAGTCCATTGACATATGGCTTTGAAACTTTGCACACTTGTTCACCATCATGACCTCAACCTGTAGACAGGAGGAGGTAACTCTATCAAGCATTTTGACAGAATTATGCCCCTTTATCAACTTAGAATTTACGTTAAAGTTTTTGTAATAGTTCAAATATTTTCAAAGTCCATAGACATATGGCTTTGAAACTTTGCACACTTGTTCACCATCATGACCCCAACCTGTAGACTGGAGGAGGTAACTCTATCAAGCATTTTGACAGAATTATGCCCCTTTTTCGACTTAGAATTTACGTTAAAGTTTTTGTAATAGTTCAAATATTTTCAAAGTCCATTGACATATGGCTTTGAAACTTTGCACACTTGTTCACCATCATGACCCCAACCTGTAAACAGGAGGTGGTAACTGTATCAAGCATTTTTTTTACTATCAAGCACTAAGAAAAGTCGAGCGTTGCTGTCCTACCGACAGCTCTTGTTTATCTACTTCTCCATTCATTAATGCAAGGTTTAAGACTCACTACATTATAATGAAAAGCATCGAGACATTGTTCATCATCTGAAGTTCATATAATCTAATGATTTTCATATCAAACCTGTACTTTTTTAGCAGTTACCAATATAGAGATTCTAATTCATAGATTTATTGCAAGACGTATTACATGCATATGTTTAAAGCCTTTGACAAAGGAACCAGAAATGTGTCAAAAACAAAAGTAATTTTATAATTGAATATTAGAATGAAAGAATATTTTATTATTCTTATTTTTTTACAAAGGAAAGCTCTGGTTATAGGAATTTTGAATGTACATGTAGTCAGGCTCATGGCTGTGTGTCAGCAGAGCTCCTTACATTTCAACCAAACTTTCACTAAGACAATGCATAAGTCCACTTTTTAGTATAAATAGGAGAGTTATTGTAAAAAAAATGACCTATTACATAGTGTTTCTGCATGAAAAGAGAGTACATGTATGAAATAAAAACAGTAATATATTTTACTATATTTCAGACAAATTTACTGGCAGGATGTGCAGCTGATAGAAGTATACTGTTATATGATATGAGAGGGTCAGCACCACTTAGAAAGGTAACTAACACAAATCTTATCTGATTTGTGGTCATGATGCTGAGTGGTTAACATGTCAGACATGTAGTCTAAAGCTTGATTTCAAACCCATGTCAGGATCAAGTTTTTTGTTTTCTTTAGCAAGAAACTTTACACACATTGCATAGAACTGGTTGGATCCAGGAACATATTTGATAGTGTTTATATAAGCTTATACATTTAGGTTCTAACACAATCACTCAAAAATAAATTCTGTATAAATTGAAACTTCTATTATATTTAAAACGTCTAATGGTCAACAACCATGACAGGGCTTGAATATTGAGTATATAGTATTGTCTAGTGGACCTCTATGCTTAGAATGAAAATTGACCTAACCTTGCTTTTATTTTACATAGACTAACATAGAGAAATACTTATCCTAGAGCTTAGGTATTTGACTTGCAGCATTGCTTAGTGGACTTCTACAAAAGTAGAATGACTCTGGATTAAAAAATATCAGCCTTCTTTTCGGCTCACATTTATTACATTTCAGGGTTTTTTCCCAGGATTTTGTGAACTTGACCTATACCCATGGAACTGGGAATTTCAGCGATATTTTGTTAAAAATTGGGAAAAAAATGCATGATTGAAAATTTGCAGTGATTAAATGAATGCAAACAACACTGTCTAGGATGGCATCTTCAAAAATTTAAGCACAATGACAGTGAAGAAGTCGTTATTTTCAAAGATTTTAGAGTTTTTTACTCAACATTTTTATTTTGCAACTTTCAAGTGGGAATTTTTTCCTGTGGATTGGGAAAATAATATACTATTTTCAATTGGGAATATGACCGAATATTGGCTATAAAACAAGCCAAAAAAAATCCCTGTTATTCTTACAAAAAAGGGGCATGCATGACCTTGTGGTTACAATCATTAACTTTAAACCTTTTGCCCCTTACCACAGTGGGTTTAAATCTTGACAGGGACTTTCGATTCTTTCATGTGCGGAAGCTAACTAGCTAGCTTATGGAATGTCGGGAGTTCTACTCGGGCGCATGTGGGTGCAAGAAATAACGCACAGAGGTCCTTCTCCACCAGTAAAGCTTGAAAGTAACCTTATGACCTATACTGTGTTGGTGCAACATAAACCCAACCAAAAGAGAAAAAAGAAAGTAGCATTAAAAATCTTCCTTGTGTTTTACAATGCCTAGACCCTTGATATTTTGCATAAAGATTGTAATCTAGTGTTTTTTGTTTTGTTTTTTTTTCAAAAAATATATCATACTTAATGCGTATGTTTGTATTTTTTTTCAGGTGATATTAAAGCTAAAGTCAAATGCATTGGCTTGGAATCCAATGGAAGCATTTGTATTTACCGTTGCCAATGAGGACTATAAGTAAGTTTTATGAAATAAGCCACTCTTCTATTATAGAAACTTACAACATTAAAGGTCATTATACCCCCGCACAACAAAGTTGTAAGGGGGGTATACTGGAATCAGCTTGTCCGTCCGTCCGTCCGTCCGGCTGTCCGTCCGTCCAGCCGTCCGTCGGTTTTTTCATGTCCGCCCAATAACTTAAGATTCCTTTGACTCTTAGTCTTCATGTTTGGCATTGAGGTTAGTCATGATTAGTAGATGACCCCTATTGATTTTGAGGTCACTAGGTCAAAGGTCAAGGTCACAGGGGCCTTGACTTCTTAAAGCTTGTCCGCCCAATAACTTAAGATTCCTTTGACCTACAGTCGTCATATTTGGCATGGAGGTAAGTCATGATTAGTAGATGACCCCAATTGATTTTGAGGTCAACAGGTCAAAGGTCAAGGTCACAGGGGCCTTGACTTCAAAAAGCTTGTCCGCCTAATAACTTAAGATTCCTTTGACCTACAGTCGTCATATTTGGCATGGAGGTTGGTCATGATTAGTAGATGACCCCTATTGATTTTGAGGTCACCAGGTCAAAGGTCAAGGTCACAGGGGCCTTGACTTCAAAAAGCTTGTCCGCCCAATAACTTAAGATTCCTTTGACCTACAGTCGTCATATTTGGCATGGAGGTTGGTCATGATTAGTAGATGACCCCTATTGATTTTGAGGTCACCAGGTCAAAGGTCAAGGTCACAGGGGCCTTGACTTCAAAAAGCTTGTCCGCCCAATAACTTAAGATTCCTTTGACCTACAGTCGTCATATTTGGCATGGAGGTTGGTCATGATTAGTAGATGACCCCTATTGATTTTGAGGTCACCAGGTCAAAGGTCAAAGGTCACAGGGGCCTTGACTTCAAAAAGCTTGTCCGCCCAATAACTTCAGATTCCTTTGACCTACAGTCGTCATATTTGGCATGGAGGTTAGTCATGATTAGTAGATGACCCCTATTGAATTTGAGGATACCAGGTCAAAGGTCAAGGTCACAGGGGCCTTGACTTCAAAAAGCTTGTCCGCCCATTAACTAAAGATTCCTTTGACCTACAGTCGTCATATTTGGCATGGAGGTTAGTCATGATTAGTAGATGACCCCTATTGAATTTGAGGTCACCAGGTCAAAGGTCAAGGTCACAGGGGCCTTGACTTCTTAAAAGCTTGTCCGCCCAATAACTTAAGATTCCTTTGACCTACAGTCGTCATATTTGGCATGGAGGTTAGTCATGATTAGTAGATGACCCCTATTGAATTTGAGGTCACCAGGTCAAAGGTCAAGGTCACAGGGCCTTGACTTCAAAAGCTTGTCCGCCCAATAACTTAAGATTCCTTTGACCTACAGTCGTCATATTTGGCATGGAGGTTACTCATGATTAGTAGATGACCCTTTTTGATTTTGAGGTCACCAGGTCAAAGGTCAAGGTCACAGGGGCCTTGACTTCAAAAAGCTTGTCCGCCCAATAACTTAAGATTCCTTTGACCTACAGTCGTCATATTTGGCATGGAGGTTAGTCATGATTAGTAGATGACCCCTATTGATTTTATGGTCACCAGGTCAAAGGTCAAGGTCACAGGGGCCTTGACTTCAAAAAGCTTGTCCGCCCAATAACTTAAGATTCCTTTGACCTACAGTCGTCATATTTGGCATGGAGGTTAGTCATGATTAGTAGATGACCCCTATTGATTTTGAGGTCACCAGGTCAAGGTCAAGGTCACAGGGGCCTTGACTTCAAAAAGCTTGTCCGCCCAATAACTTAAGATTCCTTTGACCTACAGTCGTCATATTTGGCATGGAGGTTAGTCATGATTAGTAGATGACCCCTATTGATTTTGAGGTCACCAGGTCAAAGGTCAAGGTCACAGGGGCCTTGACTTCAAAAAGCTTGTCCGCCCAATAACTTAAGATTCCTTTGACCTACAGTCGTCATATTTGGCATGGAGGTTAGTCATGATTAGTAGATGACCCCTATTGAATTTGAGGTCACCAGGTCAAAGGTCAAGGTCACAGGGGCCTTGACTTCAAAAAGCTTGTCCCGCCCAATAACTAAGATTCCTTTGACCTACAGTCGTCATATTTGGCATGGAGGTTAGTCATGATTAGTAGATGACCCCTATTGATTTTGAGGTCACCAGGTCCAAGGTCAAGGTCACAGGGGCCTTGACTTCAAAAAAGCTTGTCCGCCCAATAACTTAAGATTCCTTTGACCTACAGTCGTCATATTTGGCATGGAGGTTAGTCATGATTAGTAGATGACCCCTATTGATTTTGAGGTCACCCAGGTCAAAGGTCAAGGGCACAGGGGCCTTGACTTCAAAAAGCTTGTCTGCCCAATAACTTAAGATTCCTTTGACCTACAGTCGTCATATTTGGCATGGAGGTTAGTCATGATTAGTAGATGACCCCTATTGATTTTGAGGTCACCAGGTCAAAGGTCAAGGTCACAGGGGCCTTGACTTCAAAAAAGCTTGTCCGCCCAATAACTTAAGATTCCTTTGACCTACAGTCGTCATATTTGGCATGGAGGTGAGTCGTGATAAGTAGATGACCCCTATTGATTTTGAGGTCACCAGGTCAAAGGTCAAGGTCACAGGGGCCTTGACTTCAAAAAGCTTGTCCGCCCCAATAACTTAAGATTCCTTTGACCTACAGTCGTCATATTTGGCATGGAGGTTACTCATGATTAGTAGATGACCCTTTGATTTTGAGGTCACCAGGTCCAAAGGTCAAGGTCACAGGGGCCTTGACTTCAAAAAGCTTGTCCGCCAATAACTTAAGATTCCTTTGACCTACAGTCGTCATATTTGGCATGAGGTTAGTCATGATTAGTAGATGACCCCTATTGATTTTATGGTCACCAGGTCAAAGGTCAAGGTCACAGGGGCCTTGACTTCAAAAAGCTTGTCCGCCCAATAACTTAAGATTCCTTTGACCTACAGTCGTCATATTTGGCATGGAGGTTAGTCATGATTAGTAGATGACCCTATTGATTTTGAGGTCACCAGGTCCAAGGTCAAGGTCACAGGGGCCTTGACTTCAAAAAGCTTGTCCGCCCAATAACTTAAGATTCCTTTGACCTACAGTCGTCATATTTGGCATGGAGGTTAGTCATGATTAGTAGATGACCCCTATTGATTTTGAGGTCACCAGGTCAAAGGTCAATGGTCACAGGGGCCTTGACTTCAAAAAGCTTGTCCGCCCAATAACTTAAGATTCCTTTTGACCTACAGTCGTCATATTTGGCATGGAGGTTAGTCATGATTAGTAGATGACCCCTATTGAATTTTGAGGTCACCAGGTCAAAGGTCAAGGTCACAGGGGCCTTGACTTCAAAAAAGCTTGTCCGCCCAATAACTTAAGATTCCTTTGACCTACAGTCGTCATATTTGGCATGGAGGTTAGTCATGATTAGTAGATGACCCCTATTGATTTTTGAGGTCACCAGGTCCAAGGTCAAGGTCACAGGGCCTTGACTTCAAAAAGCTTGTCCGCCCAATAACTTAAGATTCCTTTGACCTACAGTCGTCATATTTGGCATGGAGGTTAGTCATGATTAGTAGATGACCCCTATTGATTTTGAGGTCACCAGGTCAAAAGTCAAGGGCACAGGGGCCTTGACTTCAAAAAGCTTGTCCGCCCAATAACTTAAGATTCCTTTGACCTACAGTCGTCATATTTGGCATGGAGGTTAGTCATGATTAGTAGATGACCCCTATTGATTTTGAGGTCACAGGTCAAAGGTCAAGGTCACAGGGGCCTTGACTTCAAAAAGCTTGTCCGCCCAATAACTTAAGATTTCCTTTGACCTACAGTCGTCATATTTGGCATGGAGGTTAGTCGTGATAAGTAGATGACCCCTATTGATTTTGAGGTCACACCTAGGTCAAAGGTCAAGGTCACAGGGACTTTGACTTCAAAAAGTTCTGTCCGTCCAATAACTTAAGATTCCTATGACCCACAGTCTTCATATTTGGAATGGAGGTTAGTCATGATAAGTAGATGACCCCTTTCTGATTTTGAGGTCACTGGATCAAAGGTCAAGGTCATAGGGACTTTGACTTCAAAAAGTTTGTCCACCCATTAACTTAAGATTCCTTTGACCCACAGTCTTCATATTTGGCATGGATGTTGATCATGACTATAAGGTGACCCCTATTGATTTTGAGGTCACTGGGTCAAAGTTCAAGGTCACAGGGACCTTGACAAAAAAAGTTTTTCTTCTCAATTGCTAAAGAATGTCCTGTCTGCAATGTGTTGATTTTGACATTTTCACATTTGAAGCATGTAGAATACATAACTTAGCAATGCACTGGCTTAGTAACCTGAGATTTGGCAGGGAGGTAATGTCCTTGCGCTCTTAATGGCCACTGTTGATTCTGACAAAGTGGTATGCGGGGGTATTCACGCCAAGATAGTGGCAGTTCTAGTTTATTTACAACTGTATGAGGATATTTAATTTCGTTAAATAGTAGAAATTTTATAAATGAAACTATTTTATCAGTAAATACTGCAGTTTAAAGGCCCATTATGCCCCAAAAATAGTTTTACTTATGTTTCTCAAAAGAATTTTACTTAGGTATAGTTAATAGGATACTCATTGGCCTTTAACCTGAACCATCTTTTACTTCTGTTGCTTTTTTAATTTTGGCACTTTTAGTGATTTAGTATTTAGAATGGAAGTCAAAATACAAATGTACTACTTTGTTTACATTTCATATCATTTATAACAAACAGAAGGTATATGGAACGTCTGTGGTTCTACTCAGATGCCTATTTGTGTGTTTAATAATGCACTCAAGGTTTTCCTCCACCAGTACAGCTGTAAAGTTGCCATGTGACCTTTACCATGTTTTCCAAAAAACAACAACAAAAAACCACAATGTCACACACCATACAGACATTAAGTTTATGTATATTCTAACAAAAATGAACATCTCGATGGAGGAATTCCAAACCTATGTGTCTGTCCAATCCACAGAGGTTTTGTTATGTTAATTCAATCATTTCAACAATATTTCATAGCCTTACTATATTTTATTTACTTTAATTTTACATTTTTAAGACTCTTATCATTAAAAGACACTCTTGTAGGATCATTTAAGTATTGATTTACAAAATAAATGACAGTATACATGTATTTAAGTTAGTAACAATGTGAAATAATACCCAATTTATATTTGCTTGTATTTTAATAAGTTGACATAATTTTCTTGTATATTTCAGTCTGTATTCATTTGACATCAGGAAGTTGAGTATGCCTTTAACCATCCATAAAGACCACGTGTCTGCAGGTAATATCATATTTCTGTTCACCTGAAGAGTTGTATCTTGTTAAATCCCTGGTCATCTGTCTGTCTGTCCATCAGTTATGACTTATCTGCTCTATATCATTTTAAACTCTTTGAACTTTGAAGAATTTCTTGATTTATTTGGTCATTGATAGACTCACATACCCAGGTTTCATATACCCAAGTTCAAGGTCAAAGTTACAGCACTGGTATATGTTAAACCCAGCAATATTTGTGTCCGCTTAAAGCTTTTGAATTACTCTGATGTTTACTTGTGTTTGAAATAAATGCAGGGAAAGACATCATCTGAGGTCTTCCTCCAACAGTAAGCCATATGACTTTTACTCCCCACCCCCCCTCCAAAAAAGAAATCTATAGAATATACTAATTGCTCTGATACAGATAAATTTTGTAGTAGATTATCAGTTATTTTGAAAGGTAAAAAAGAATTATTTCATTCACAGTTATGGACCTTGACTACTCACCTACAGGGACAGAATTTGTGTCAGGAAGTTTTGATAAAACTGTACGAATATTTTCATGTGGTCAACAGAGAAGCAGGTTTAGTATAGTTTTATTGTGTTGTGTTTGTGCATGTGCGCATGTGCTGTTAATGTTAATGTTGATTTTAGGCATACCAAGTTTTAACAGTAATTAATTTAGGCATGATTGTATTTCAAAATTCTCAAATACAGTAGAACTTCGGTAAGTCGAAGTTGAAGGGACTTGGGTAGAAACTTCGACACATCGGGACTTCGACTCATGAATCGCTCTCAATTCCATGACAAAATTTCGACCCGTGACTAGTGCTAATCATAAGATCTATAACGAAACCTTTTTCATGTTTTTCAATCATTAATCAGATATTTTACATTTAACTATGATAAATATAGCATGTTAGATAACGTTTTTCACGGCTTATTATTTTGACTACCCGTTGACGTATACAATATAGTTACAAAAGGCGTAACAGTTAGAAAGGGCGATAACTAAACCGGCTTATAGTAAATATTTCGCGTGTTATTCTCACGCAACACCGAGTCATGGATATTTTCAAATGAAAGTAGTTCTTACTGTTTACTTTCAAATACCACTACGGCAATTAAAATAGTAACGATTAAAGCATTTTATCACACATTTTATCGCAAACAAAGGATGTTTGAACACACGGATGTGTAGTTGACACCTGTCACACAAGTTGATTGGAAATCGTCTTCGCAGCCAGATAAGGTGTGAAAAATGTCTCGAGATCGAAGGTGTCAAAAATAATCGAAAGACTTCGACTTATTTGTGGTAAATTGCACTAGATTTACTTTATACGGACCACGAAAAAACTTCGACACATCGAAAAATTCGACACATAAAATCTCGACTCATAAATAGGTTTTTATAAGGAATATATAGGGGAAAAAATTGGGACTTTCATTTTTCTTCGACACATCGAGAAAATCGACTAATCGAAGTTCGACTCATAGAAGTTCTACTGTACTAAGATTAAAAACTTAATCAGAAAAATGAAAATCTTGTCACGATGAACTTTTAAGACTTGATTTAAATCTATATCCAGATTTTAAATGTAAAAACACGTTTTAAGAAGAAAAACTTGTACAGGTAGTGAAAAAAAACATTTCATCTTTTGCATATTTACTCAGAGTCTGAATCAATATGTATAAGGGAGGTTATCACTGAAGAATTTGTCTAAAGTAATGTAGCAGTTATTTGCCCTTTACAAAAAACATGCAGTATTGTTAACAATAATATATAGGGAATTTAATTATGTTTGCTATTTCAGGGAGGTTTATCATACAAAAAGAATGCAGCGGGTCTCTGTAGTCAGATGGTCACTAGATAATAAATATATCTTGTCAGGTTCCATGGAAATGAACATCAGAGTATGGAAGGCTCGAGCTTCTGAAAAAATTGGAGTGGTATGTATCTCTTTATTCATTAAAGTATTTTTTAAATGTAAATGTGTTAGCCTGCTGATATAGCCACCTCAGGATTGAAAGCTTTTAGAAAAAAAGTTCATTACATTACATTAAATTAGCAAAGTTAAGGTTTATGTTATTTGTATCATTTACATCTGTTTAGGGTGTATATGTAAAAAAAAAAGAGGAGTGGGGGATATATGGCCAGGGTTTTACGGGACGCAGAATTCTGCGTCCCTATACGCATAAATTTTGACATGTACGCATATAAGTTATCCACTTGCGTCCAAGTGTACGCACAAAAATAATCCTAGACAACAGATATTATTGTTTCTGAATGACATGATTTTATCTCTTTCTTCTCGAAGCTCACAAAATTCCATATAAATCTAATACAGCGTGCAGAAAATGCTTGCATTTGTTTATTTCGGAAGTTAACATAATTGAAATCTACTGCGCATGCTATTTGCAAGTGCCCGCTGCAGAAACTGATGACGTTTATCGTGCAAGCTACAGTAACTGATGACGTTTACCGTAAAATCTATTTTAGGTAGCTGTTTTTGGTTTTTCTGTTGCTATATTTAGACAGACTATTTATAACAAGCAATTACTATTGGTTAGCGTATCCAATGTCGATCTACCAGTTCGGCTAATGTATTTTGTACATGAACGGCAATAATAAAAAAACAGTGCTTATTGCAAACCTATTTTCATAGTGTTAAAGAAATTAAGTCACTTGGTATGTTATTATCGTTGGTGTTATAAATATAATGGTTTCGGCGAACATAACTTATGAGGAGGTGCAAAAGCGGTTTCGTCGGCCTTTTGTTATATGATATTTTTAAAAACGCAACATATTTAGCTGACTGGTCTGTAAAGATATCTATTGTGTGTTTACTAGTTCAGCTAAAATATTTACAAATAGATCAGTACAAATTTTCAGTCTGTTGGTGTAATCACCTTATCAATAACAAAATATGCTACTAAAACTTGACATTCCAGCCACTCATGATATTATAGTAAAGGGCTATAAAAAAACCTAGTGATAAAAGATATTGAAATCATATACTTATGAAAATAGTACAATAAACATGCATATTTCTCACAGGGTAAATAAATGATTTTAAGCAAAATAGAGTGGTCTTCATAGTCTTTTATAGTGAATATAATTTTGGACCCCTAAAATTCAGGCCTGGACCCCTACTTTTCTAGGCTATGCATCCACTGGACCACTAAAATTTCAAAGAGATGTATACCCTGTATGGCCGAGTTATTCAGCAAAATGTTGTTGATTTCAAACCACTTGACCCTCACCACTGTGGTCTGGAATTCCAACAGAGATTTTTGATTCTTTCATGTGAAGAAGCTGTCCAGCTAGATTATGAAATGTTAGTGCTTCTACTCAAGTACATGCTCAAGCCTGAAATAATGCACGGAGGGGCTCCTGAAGTCTTTCCCCACCAGTAAAGCTGGGAAGTTGCCATATGACCTTTACAGAGTTGGAAGGACGTAAAATCCTGGCTAAAAAAACTGTTATTATATTACTATATTATATATTGTTGTATTCAGTTGAACGCCCGGGAGAGGACAGCATTTAATTATAATGAGAAGTTGAAGGAGAAGTTCGGACATCATCCTCAAGTGAGAAGGATTTCCAGACATCGTCATGTACCGAAAATGATTTACCATGCACAGAAAGAACTTAGACAGATTGAAGAATCCAAGAGGCGAAAGTATGTAATATTGACATGTTTTGTAAAGTGAAGGAATTTATACTTTATTTGAATAGGTTATTAATTTATAGCAAAACATATCTAGGAATTTCAATAATCTATTTTTTTGTCAGTTCTGCATTGGGTAAACTGTTTCTAAAACTGTTGCTCATGGTGCGCAAATTATTTATTACATTCATGTTTGTGGTTTTAATTCTACCTTACCAAAAGCTTTAAAGATAAAATCCAAACTGAAATGTCTTTTATTGTGTCGCCTTGAAAAGGTGACATATAGGTATTACTTTTGTCGGCGGTGTCGGCGGCGTCTGTGTCGGCGGCGTCGTTGTCGGCGTCCCCTAAAGCTTGTCCGGAGCATAACTCAGTCACTATAAGTCTGATTGACTTCAAACTTGGTATGCATGCTTCTTTCAATAACCCGAAGTGCAGTGCACAAGGACCGGTACTCTGCAGTTCTTATTTTTTGAGTTATTGCCCTTTGTTAATTTTCATACTTTAATTTTGTCCGGGCCATTTCTCTTCAACTAAAAAAGCTATGGACTTGAAACTTCATAGGATGATAGATCTCATTAAGAAGAAGTGCAGTGCACAAGAACCGGTACTCTGCACTTCTTATTTTTTGAGTTATTGCCCTTTGTTAATTTTCATACTTATTTTTGTCCGATCCATTTCTCCTAATGTATAAAAGCCATGGACTTGAAACTTCATAGGATGATAGGTCTCATTAAGAAGAAGTGCAGTGCACAAGAACAGGTACTATGCATTTCTTACTTTTTGAGTTATTGCCCTTTGTTTATTTTCATACTTTAATTTTGTCCTCAACTGATGCACTTGAAAAGGAAAAGTATGCAAATATAATAAAGAAATGGTGTCAGAATTGAATAAGAAAAATTATATTTTTGTGATTATTAAGCTGATTTGAGTTAAAACGTTGAAACAATTTTCATTTTTGGGTCATTTTTTTAGCAATTTAGATAATTATTATGAAAAAACTGAGTGAGTGATTAATCTGTAATTTTTTTTGCAAGTTATTAGTTCAGAACTACATCAGAGGGTACTAAAATTTTTGAAAAAATATTTACAGTCCCATTATTTCAAGAAACCTCAGGGGAGTCCCAGTTTTAAGCAAAGAATCCTATTGTCGATTACTCACAATTTAACATGTAACAAGAAACATTTTAACCAGTAATACCTTCTATAAGGTAATTCTTACCTTGACTATTCAAAGAAAAGGGAGGCCTGTTATTATTTACCAGGTGTTGTCATCTCACTTCGTCTAACGTCTAAGTTTTTGCATGCAAGTTGGTATCTCCAAAATCTCTAAATGGAATGTGTTGAAACTTCATACTTTTATTTGAGCACATGATAAAGAGGACACTGTTAAATGTCCAAAACTGTTACTTGGGTTTTGATAGAATGTTTGCCCTTTTTGAACTTAGTAAAGTTAGAGCCTGGATGATGTAGAATTATCTATTGAACATTGAAAATAGTCAAGCATACTGACCTACTGACAGCTTTTGTTTTTCACCATATTGACATAGATATTATGTTTTTATGAATTCAGGGAGGCTAATAGAAGAGCACATAGTAAACCTGGGGCTGTTCCAAAATTATCTGAGAAGGAGACAAAGGTTGTGGCAGAAAAAGAATGAGACAAACTGTGCAGATTTGAAAAAAAACCACTTAATCATCATACTGTGGAATCAATGATGCATTTTTATAGCTTTTATTGCGAGATGTTAAGATCTTACGAAACAAATAATTTAATCATCTGGAAAAAAAATCAACAACAAGAAAGGAGAGTGATAAAATATTGTAATGTCAATTAATATGACACCATTAACTTTTTATTAATTGATATTTACTGGCTGTACCAGGCTGGACCTGTATATCTGGTAAATATTTTTAAACTGAATTTAAAAAAGATCAGAATATTACATAGCTACCCTTATACTAAATAAATGATCTATGAATGTAAGATTACCTTACATTTTTATTTCTGGTTTCACTTATATTATGAGTCTGTTGAAAACATCCTAGAGGTATGTGGAGTCATTACTATGTGATATGAGAAAGAGACCATGGACAAAGAAGTAGTAAAATGTTTTTATTGTAAACCTATGTAACACATTAAGACTTGGTCTGTTATGACAAGATGATTGTCGGTAGCAATAAGACCTGGTCTGTTATGACAAGATGATTGTCTGTAGCATTAAGACCTGGTCTGTTATGGCAAGATGATTTTCTGTAGCAATAAGACCTAGTCTGTTATAACAAGATGATTGTCTGTAGCAATAAGACCTGGTCTGTTATGACAAGATGATTGTCTGTAACAATAAGACCTGGTCTGTTATGACAAGATGATTGTCTGTAATAATAAGACCTGGTCTGTTATGACAAGATGATTGTAACAATAAGACCTGGTCTATTATGACAAGATGATGGTCTGTAGCAATGAGACTTGATCTGTTATGACATGATGATTGTCTGTAGCAATAAGACCTGGTCTGTTATGACAAGGTGATTGTAGCAATGAGACTTGATCTGTTACAACAAGATGATTGTCTGTAGCAATGAGACTTGTTTTTGTTATGACATAATGATTGTCTGTATCAATGAGAAATGTTTTTGTTATGTTATAATGATTGTCTGTAGCAATGAGACTTGTTTTTGTTACGACAAGATGATTGTCTGTAGCAATGAGACTTGTTTTTGTTACCACATGATGATTGTCTGTAGCAATGAGACTTGTTTTTGTTACCACATGATGTTTGTCTGTAGCAATGAGACTTGATCTGTTACAACAAGATGATTGTCTGTAGCAATGAGTCTTTTTTTTGTTACAACATTATGATTGTCTGTAGCAATGAAACTTGTTTTTGTTACAACATGATGATTGTCTGTAGCAATGAGACTTGTACCTTTTATGACAGGACAACTGTCTGTTACAGTGAGACTTGGGTCTGTTATGACTACAAAATTGTTGTAGTCAATTTAGTTTATCAAAGTGTTGTATTAATTAGTATCAATACAAAGTGTTGAAAATTACACAAGATACTTTCAGATATGTGTTGAGAGAGAAAGAGAGGGTAAGATCATGCTGTACATTATTGTAAAAAATGTTTGTTCATTTTAAGTTAATCTGTTTTTCATGCCCCCAGGCATATAGTAATTGAACCGTCCATCCATCGTACCAACTGCAAGTTGCATTTATCTTAAGTTCTATCTGTACTAATGGCTTCATAATTTACACACTAATCAACACAAAGTTCATGATCTGGGCAAGTTCCATAACTTGGCTTCCATTTTCCCCAGTTATTTTCATTTCTATAATTTGAAACAATAGGGTCTTTGTGGTTAACCTATTCTGGCAAGATGGATTTATCTTAAATTTCTCCTAATTACTCTATTTATTTAATTATATCTTCCATATTTGGTTGCAGGATACCTTAAATGATCCTCTAAATTTTGATGGGTAAGAGGTTTCTGGGGTCAAGGCCACGGTCATTGGTGTTAGAAATAAATTTTAACATTTTTGCTCATACAGCCTTTATGTTTTGATTAATGTCTTTCATTTTTAGTATGGACATGCCTAGGGAGGTTCTCTTTCTTGGGTTAAGTTGGGGTTGTTTGGGTCAAGGTCACCAATGCCAAAAATATATTTTGTACACTTAAACTGGTGTTACAAATGTTCTTTTTATTAAGCAAGAACATAATTACGACTTTGGATAGAGTAAGTTACCAGTTTGGTCAATGTCACCATTGCAAAAAATAGATTTTTACACTTTCTTTTCCATATAGCCTTTATTTATTGACAGACACTTTAATGTTTGGTAGGAAAATGACTTGCATGGTATTCTCTCTTTGAGTTAGGGGTCAGTGGGTCAAGGTCAAGGGTGAATAGTAAAGATTTTTACACATTTCTTATGCAGACTTTAATTTTTACTAATGTTTTTCATATTTAGCAGGAAGATAACTTGCATGGTCTTCTTCCTTAAGATTGTGTTAGAGGTCATTTGGGTCAAGGTCACCAGTGCTAAAAATAGATTTTTACACTCTTGCCCATACAGCCTTTATCTATTTACGGATGTCTGTCATATTTGGTTTGAAGATAAAAGTTCAGATCTTCTTACTACTTACCTGTAGGTCTGATTACCAGTGTATATGTTTGCCCTTTCATCATGATTTTGATTACCTGAGTTTTGTAGTTTGTCTGTCCATTATTGAATGAGTGGATAGACCTTTCTTTGAAAAAATAAAGTAATCTGTGCCAGGGGCATTTGTGTTTAACAAAAAAACATTGTCATTCCTATTTACAAATTAAATAAGAAAGGCTGGTCAGATTTAGACTAAAAAGCAGCTTCATATTAGTCACCAGGCATAATATGCTCAACGTATGTCTGCTTTTTTATATAGATTCACATTAGTCACAATCAAGATTATTAAGAGAAAAAGATTGACGGTAAAAAAAATTCAAATGATTTTATGTATGTGCATGTAAATACAGAATAATATTAACAGTAAACAAAATTGTCTTGTTTATTTGATACTGTCACCTTGAAATTTACATATGACATGCTATATGATGATTGTTTGACTAATACATTAATAATAACATCATTTGTAAATATTTTGTTTTCTGTTTGTTTTTAATGCCCCCTCTGGGGGACATACAGTGTTACCCCTGTCCATCTTTCTGTGCCTGAAACCTTGTCTGACCCATAACTCGGTCATTTATCAGGAAAATTTGAAATAACTGGACACACAATGTGTGTTACACTGTACATTGTGTCTATTACCACAAGGCGTTTGTCTGTAATAGTGACCATTGTGTCTATTACCACAAGGCGTTTGTCTGTAATAGTGACCGTTGTGTCTATTACCACAAGGCGTTTGTCTGTAATAGTGACCATTGTGTCTGTTACCACAAGGCGTTTGTCTGTAACAGTGACCATTGTGTTTGTTGCCACAAGGTGTTTGTCTGTAAAAGTGACCATTGTGTCTGTTACCACAAGATGATGGTCTGTTACAGTGCACGTTGTGTCTATTACCAGTTGATGTTTATATGTTCAAGTGACCATTGTGTCTATTACCACAAGATGTTTGTAATAGTGACCATTGTGTCTATTACCACAAGGTGTTTGTCTGTAACAGTGACCATTGTGTCTGTTAGCACAAGGTGTTTGTCTGTAAAAGTGACCATTGTGTCTGTTACCACAAGATGATGGTCTGTTACAGTGCACGTTGTGTCTATTACCTGTTGATGTTTATATGTTCAAGTGACCATTGTGTCTATTACCACAAGATGTTTGTAATAGTGACCATTGTGTCTATTACCAGAAGGTGTTTGTCTGTAACAGTGACCATTGTGTCTGTTACCACATGATGTTTGCCTGTAACAGTGACCATTGTGTCTATTACCACAAGATGTTTGTAATAGTGACCATTGTGTCTATTACCAGAAGGTGTTTGTCTGTAACAGTGACCATTGTGTCTATTACCACAAGATGTTTGTAATAGTGACCATTGTGTCTATTACCACAAGGCGTTTGTCTGTAACAGTGACCATTGTGTCTGTTACCACAAGATGTTTGTAATAGTGACCATTGTGTCTATTACCATAAGGCGTTTGCCTGTAACAGTGACCATTGTGTCTATTACCACAAGATGTTTGCCTGTAACAGTGACCATTGTGTCTGTTACCACAAGATGTTTGTAATAGTGACCATTGTGTCTATTACCACAAGGCGTTTGCCTGTAACAGTGACCATTGTGTCTATTACCACAAGATGTTTATATGTTAAAATGACCATTGTGTCTGTTACCACAAGATGTTTGTAATAGTGACCATTGTGTCTATTACCACAAGGCGTTTGCCTGTAACAGTGACCATTGTGTCTGTTACCACAAGATGTTTGCCTGTAACAGTGACCATTGATTCTGTTATCACAAGATAATGGTCTGTAAGAGTAAATTATGTGTGTATTACCACAAGGTGTTTGTAAGTAACAGTGACCATTGTGTCTGTTACCACTTGATTTTTATATGTTAAAATGACCATTGTGTCTGTTACCACAAGATGTTTGTATGTAACAGTGACCATATTGTATCTGTTACTACAAAATGATAAACTGTAACAGTGAACATTGTATAATATGCACTGTTACAAACAATTATCAAAGTGGATACAGATAAAATTGTTTGTTATGATAAAACGAGTGTCTGCAGGTGTGAGAATTGTGTCTTGTTATGTCAAAATGTTTGTCTGTAGCAGAAAGTTCTTCTCGTGCAGCCTTCAATCTGTCTAAATTACATAATATAATTCCTACGTTTTTCTTCCTTTTCATTCTTAGGAACATCTTACATATCGTTATAAATTAGTTGGATTTTTAACATAAAAACCTGACTTGGAATTTCACTTCTGCAAAAGAAAATTTTAAGAACAAAATTTACATGTTTTTGCTTAAGGTTGCATGCCCCTTAAGAGCACTGTAAGGAACTGGAAAAAAAACCTGACAATATAGTTAAGTTGTATTCCTTGAAGATCATCTGTGAGAGGAATTTGAACAACATATACCGTATTGTTTTGGGCTTATGAGCAATTTACTTCCCGGGGGTGGGGGAGAGAGCTATTAAAAGGAAAGAACTCCATTTTCTTTCATCAATTTGTTTCGCTTATAATTCTCTCTAATCATGCGATGTTTAAGAAAATTCTCTGCTGTTGTCATTATAGATAAATATGGTATAAATACAAGTGTCATTTTAAACTGGCCCAAATTAAGTTGAATGCAGCTTCCCAAACTTAGTATTCAAATCAGACACACCGGTTTGTAATAAGTAAGAATTTCCTAGATTTCAATAAATAGTATATACATTTGTAAAAAATCAGTTATTACCTTCTTTAACTTAATTGAAAATACACATGTATAGGGTTTTCTTATCTTATCACTAAGAAAGATATTTTTTCACTCCAAAACC